GTCGTCGTCGTCGTCGCATGCCCCCTACCACACCCAAACCGCGCAACCACCAGTGCAGATGCCCTTCTCGGATCCATTCCACACGCGCGACCCATTCATGCCCTCGTCGACGCAGCACACGAGACGCGACAGCTACAGCATTGGTCCCGCCACGCCGGCCATGGGCACGCCGTACGAAAGAGCTTGGAGCACACAGCCACAACCCCCAGGTACGACGACTTGACCTCTGTCTTGCACGGGAGCGCGTCTGCTGTCCCTGTCGCTGTCCCTGTCGCCGTGACAGCTTGAATCGCAGCGGCAGGGTTCAGCCAGCAGCCACGCGACCGTGCTTTTTCCCAAACCCGCCGATCGCTCGGGAAGCCCAAACTTTAATCAATCAGAATTTCTAACCACCCCGGATTCTTTTAGCTCCCCAAACAGCTCAACACCAACATCTCTCCCAGAACCCAACCACATCCACCCAACCCCCAGCTGCCACCACTACCCACATGTCGAGTGGTCCCTTTCCCTACGACTCTGCGCGGCGCCGCTCCGTAGGCAGCGAGCGCTATCCGGGAGGCATGTGTCGCAGGAACATCTAACCAACATGGGCTGACTTTGTCGCAGCGCCGCTCGATCCCCCTCCACCACCGCCTCTCTCTTACTCAAACCGCAACATGCCGCCGCCCTCGCCCACCTCTGGTCCGAATTCATCTTCTGCATTCTCCATGCCTGCCCCACGTCACACTCCCTCAACATCACCCTACGTCGGCCCGAGAGACCTACCGCCCTTCAACTCCAGACCCGGCACCACCATGTCCATCTCATCCTTGATCGGCGGCGGCGACTCCTCGCGCCACGGGAATCACTCGCCAAAGACTGTTGCGACCGCGCCCTCGCCTCCCATGAAGCCTATACATCCCTCGTCTCCGCAAAGAGCTCGCTCGGCCAGTACAAGAGCCCCGAATGGCCACTTCCCCAGACTACACAGTCCCACTAGCATCATGCAGGCCCAAAGACAAGCAGACTCCATGTCTCAGCCATTCCATCAACCTGGCCCTCATCAGCCTCCGCACCTGTCTCAACACAACGCCGCGCCAGGCTTCCGTCCGTTCCAGTCATCTCCACCTTCCGCTCAAGATGAGCATCAACCATACCCCGGCCATGCGCCATCACGTCCTAACAGTCAACCCATGCACGCTCACCTCGACCAGGAGCTGCGGAATCGACAAGACATGCACGACCGACCCCCGCCGCGTCATCCTTCCGCTTTCCCACCCTACGTCGACCACATGGGTAGACCTGGTCCTTCGTCGCAGCCACCTTCGAGACCTGACCTCGAGCGTCAGGAGTTCAACGGACATGGACATCACCAGTTTGCCCAAACAATGTCGCATACCGCACGCTCTACGCCTGCACCCCCACCGCCTCAGGCGTTCGGCCGTCTTAACTTTGGTTCCGCGCGAGAAGAGTACCCCGGTCTGTTCCGTCCCGCAGTGCAGATGCCGAGCAGGGAAGAGATGGAGCAACGCGGCCCCCACAATGAGATGCTTGGTCGACCGGAACACCGACACACGCCCACCATGAACGGTATGGACGACAGGCAAAGGCCAAATGCCGTGCACTACGCCATGTATGGTCCGCCAGGTTATGAAGCGAGGGAGGGAGAAGAACATCCGTTGCAACGAGCCTTCCTGGGCGTAGCTTCTGAGATCAGACACAAGAATGGACGAGCATCGCCGCTACCGCAGGCAGTGCATGGAGCACAACCGCGTCATACCGGTCCTGGAGCAGATCCTGGTGTCAAAAGTGAGTTTGGTCGAATGTTTTCGGGTCTCGGCAGCGGTGTTGGTAGTAATACTCCCACAGCCGGCATCGCAACCCCTTCACACGGCAGTCCAGCAAGGCAGGTCGATGCCAACGACGATACCGATAGCAGAAAGACTCGAAGCAGGTTGAGAGAAGACAACAGGGATGACAGCGATAGTGTGGACGGTAGGAATACTCCGACTGCCAGCCAGAGGGGTAGCAAGCGGCCAAAAACGGCGCATCCACCACCGCATCACCACCACCATCATGCCCACGCCCATCAGTAAGCATCTCTGACTTTTTTTCTCTTCTAAGCGACCACGCTGATGCTGACAAGACCCTCCAGCCATCACCACCATCATCACGGCTTGCCAGAAGAGCAAATGCCTCACGCCTCTGCTCCCTTCCATCCTCTTCGCTTCCCATCTAATGCTAGCACACCACAACAAGCTACCGCTGCGCCTCCTCCTCCTCATCATCACCACCATCACCATCATCACGCCGTTCATGCCCATCCAACTCATCACCACCATCACGGTGTGAGACCCCCGCCTGTGCCTTCAACACGCAAACCTCAAACAACCATCTCCAACCAGGAGTTGCTCGCATCCGTCTCGACCCTGCCCCGAAAACACCTTGGCAGCCACGTCTACTCGACCAAGCTTAGCCTGCCCCCAAGAGAATCTACTCCAATCGACTTCAAGTATCACTTCAAGAGCTCTGTCAAGCCGATCCCACGCTTCGAAGAAAAGGCAAACTGCACCTTCACCGTCCGCGTTCCACGCGCTNACCTTGGTGCCTCTAATGACATCGAGGAAGACAGTGATACTGTCGCTGGCGGTCTTGAGGAGATATGTAAGACTCGCGCAGTCTGGGGATCCGACGTGTACTCAGATGATTCTGATCCTGTTGCTGCCGCTGTTCACTCGGGCTGGATCCGTGGTGACTTTGGCGAATACAACGAAGACCTTCGCGAGCTGTTCAAAGAAGGACAGGCTGATAATGCCTCAGAGACTCCAAATTTGGGCAAGCTGTATACGGACAAGCCCACAAAGCCGCTGCGCGCATTGCCAAAGGCAGACCTGCACATTACGCTTCTCATCCTGCCAGCGCTCACACACTACACAGCCTCGACGCAAAACTTCTTGCGCTCCAGGGAGTGGGGATCTGATCACGATGGTGTCAGCTACATGATCCACTCGATTGAGTTTGTAGAGGAGAGCTCATCCAACAGGTTCGCCGAGCGCAGTGCAGCTACCAAACACCAACGTATCAAAGACGATCAGGTACGTAGAAGAGAGGCAGCAGAAAGTCTGCTTGGCTTGCTGCAGGGGTCGAGAGGAAACATGACACCAGTGAGCTCAAATGTCTCTGTTGGCGCTTAGAGTATTGTAGGAGTCTTTTGATCGAAAAGTAATGTCATTATACCAACCTCAATTCCTTCTCTGTTTGTTGAAAGTTAGACGAGTCTTGGTCTCTCTGTGACGAGAGCTCTGCAAGCACACGCATGAGATTAGCTGCTTTCAGCTAGCGTATACAGTATCACGTGTGGACGAGGAGCCTTTCTCGGCTCGTAGAAGGAGTAGTTATGAAAGATTGGATGACTGAATGAGAGCGTAGATGATGCATCATCATTCAAGATGTCTTGCACCAGTGGTGGTTGCCATGGGTTTTCAAGACATGTGCACACGTCGGCCTGCAGAAGCGGAGCGTGGAGGGTATTTCGTAAGTTTTTGTAGCAGTCATCGTGCGATGGACTTTTTCCGCTCATACATAGGCAGACGGGTTTGTTGTGTTCTTGAAGGACATTGAAATCCCTGGGAGATGAGTCTGGGTTCGCGTTCGTGATCTTGAAGCCTCGGAGCTGGACATTGTGCTTGTCGACAATTTCGCAGTCATGTCACGGTGTGTGATCTTATGATGAATGGTGCGCTGAACAGACTGGAGACGAACGAAACTTCGTGTGCAATATGAGATAGGGCTGTCTTTGAGCACACAAGGCATCTTCCATCGTCGAGGACGTGGTTGATGATTAGGCTTGTATGAGGCGGGGTATACCGAAACTGTGCGAGTTCGTTGACTTGGTAAGCAGGAGCAGATGTGATGAAAAGTGGCGTAGCGAAGATCTCTGTAGAGGGGGCAACGTGGAGATTTTGATATATAAGAATGATCCACAAGTCAAGGACGACAAGAGCCGACACAGCGGTAAGGTGAGGATGCTGTGGTTCGGATCATGCTTGACACGCGGAGAGGGAAATCGGGTCTCAGTGTCAAATGTGGCATTAAATTTCTACATAAGGGAGGCACAAAAGAAAGGGAGGAGAGAATGGTTATTCCTTGCCAGCTTAGGTAACAGCTCTTTGCTCTCCTCCCCAAACAACTGGATCCAGGACCTTNGTTCGCCANACACCGACCTCTGAATCCAGGTTCGACTCCTCCTTCGCGAAACAANNGAAGAACAACACCAACATAACGCCAAAGAATAGCCGCAGAGGCGGTTGCNNACTGGCTCTTGGAAAGAGCAATGCAAGCGACTTATAGAAACCAACCCAAGATCCAGAGGAAATGGATATTGCTTTTCTGTAAAGTGGNACAGCCGCACTCAAGCCATAATATATCAAATTCTCATGAACATTTCTCNNTAAATGTTCATGATCATAACGCTCGTTAGCAGTCAGCGAAAANCTGCATCCAGTCCTCCTCGTTTTTCCCGCAGAGTAATTCGGTCTAAGGGGTAGTCGCGGGAGTGTCTGGAGCAGGCGAATGAGCGCCATACCCACATATGTCCGGTCCGTACTCGGTTTCCAATAAAGTTGCTGCAAAACACAACACAGTGCTTCGGTGTGCGGGTGATGATCTGGGTTCTCTCTTTTCTGGGAGATGTCTTCTCGGTGTACGCGTGTGTGAAATTCGTCTTCAAGGCATCTCGTGTTGCCGTCTTGTAGAATGTGCTTCATCTCGTTTGGCGGTCCAGGCAAAGAGCCACATGANNCGGGCAACCGAGCACCAAAGTGCAAGCCAAAGAACGGCAAGACGAGGACATGAAGGCAAAGCCAGACGTTGCGTAGGCAGCAAGAAGCGATGTCGCAGAACAAAGAAAGAAGCAAGAAAGCATACCCACACGGNNCGGTATCTGAGAGGGCAGCGGGTGNTTTGGAATCGTCGGNTAGAGGGGCGGGATGGATGGGGCTTCGAGTACCGGAACATTACCAATGTCGAAACTACGACTCTCATCCTTGTATTGTCTCTCCTTCTCAACCAGCCTTCAGCACAACTGCCAATTCGTATGGGCAGGCGAAGCACCAAGAAACAAGAGGGAGGGCGAGGCATGGGAGGAGTGGCAGAAGCCACTACCGGAGAAGACGGATGTGAGGAATTTCGACAACGCAAAAGTCGAGCGCGCCAAAGCTGCAGCTCGAGACATACATCAAGAGAGAGCACAACACAGTGGCGACTCCGATCAATAAAAACAGTTTTTTTTTGTTGACATCAGTTTATAACGTGCACCGATCAGTCCGAAAACTGATCATCACGCTTCTTTTCTCCTGCGGAGGAGCGGCAGCTGATTTGTGTGTTCAAAAACAGAGCAGCATCAACTCGGGAGGAGAAAGAGAATGGGACTCTGGAACACCAAGCCAGGTCTGAGCATATTTAAAGTCTCCCTATATGCAGGTGTCGACATTACCCGTAGCCCACGGATGACTCAGAAGAATTCACGCGGCCAACGGAGTTCAAAAGGTCATATGTGGGCCGATAGCAAGCTATCACCGGGCATGATCGGCGAATGGATCTTGTGGTTGCAAATGAGTGTTACTCCTTTGCGGACTGGTGGGAGAGACGGGAGATGGATCTTCTGCAAAGTTGCCGTGACTGCTGGCACGAATGTGTGTAGGACGACGTGTTGCAGCTTCGACGTTCTGGGCGCCAACAAACCCAACCTTTTCGTTCGGGCTAAAGCCAGAACTCAGGATGGGTGACGTGACGCCCGGATAGTCGGAAAGTTGGAATTTGCGAGGCGAAAGGGTGTATGATTGGCCATTGAGACGGTTTGCTAGATTGTCGCTCGTGTCGACAGTCGTAGCACTGGTTGCTTGTTCGTAGGTGGGTACTCGCGAGGAGATTGAAGAATTTCTGCGAGAGAAGCTAGTGCGTGAAGCATGTGTCGCAGAGAAGCTCTGCGGCGGCATGCTCTTGAGCTCTCTAGGGTACTGATCGGCTGGTATTGTTTCCTTGCCGGTGTGAGCCAGCATGTAACCAGCTCTGATAAGTCCGATGAGCACAATCAGCACCCAGATGATCAGCACGCAGGTTGAAATGATAGCTTCTTGCCTCACAGCCTTTTCCAGGTTACGAACAACGAACAAGATGGCGCGAGAGATCTGGTCGCCTGTATTGATAGTGTCTGGTTCAGCAAGCATCGAGCTGTTGCCCGAAGAGGTGTCGTTCATCTTGTCCATGATACCAAGAGAGAAAGTGTCGTTTCTGACCATTGGAAAGTCAACATGAGCATGATCACTGACCCAGGTCAAGGCTTTTTGAATGCCTTCAATCTTGAGTGTGATCAAGCAATTCACAACTTCTTGAACGGGATCTTCGAGAATAGTGCCACCGAAAGTAGCATTAATCGCATCATTCATCCCATCGATGAAAAGGTTGAGAGTATTGTTGACTGCTCCAGTTGTGGTATTGACCCAGCCAAAGATGTCTTCGTTGATTTTAGTGTTTGTCGTGTTGATAACGTGGTTGGTGTCAACGGCCCATGCTAGGGAAGCATTGTTGAGTGACCATTGCACCTTATCAGCGAAAGCATCAACTTTCTGGGTGAGCTCTGGGACTTCTTTCCTGATCGCCTGGAGTAATATGTATTGACAAAGGCAACCAAGAAGTCCGGCAATTGCAAGGCAAAGAACGAACAAGGCTGGTGTGGTTGTGGCATAGGCGACAGTCCACCTCACAAGTGTCCGCGTACGGGTTGATGAAATGTTGTTCGAAACTTTGACACCAAAGTCAGCCGTGTATGGACGTGAGACAATGTAGACAGCGTCCATGGGGTCGTTGATATGCTTGATAGCTCTTGCTCGTTCTTCTTGTAACCGCCAGCGACGAATCTCTCGGTAGGCCATGGGGACACAGGCAAGAATTGCGGCAATGATAAGGACTGAAAGGAAACCCTTCTTGGCAAGCGTTATGACGTCCGCGAGGTCATCAAAGAAATCATTGATGCCATCGTCGTCGGAGCAGAACGTGAGCTTTTCCTTTGGTGGAACATGAAACAATGATCGATTCATGGTGTACTTGCCCATAGATTCATTAAGCAGTTGCTTGACCTCTTCGAAGGGGAAGCGAAGTGCCGTGTTTGTTGCATTGTGGACTTCAGCAAAAGTCGGAATGGAGTCGTTCAGTTTATCCAGCCCTTTGTCGTATCCAGAAGGAAGTTGCAGTGAGTCGAGTTTGGCGATTGATGAGTTCAGGTCGATGTCCGGGACATTGACATTTTTNCCAGTGAAAAAGCTGCCAACATCTTCAATCGCGCCAGTGAACTTGTTCATGGCTTTTTGAAAGTCTTCGACAGCATCACCAAGTTCTGTGTCTACACCCTTGGCGGTGGAGTTCAGGAAGTCTCCAACGTCTTCTGCAACGTCAATGGCAACGTGTAAGCTGCCACCAACGGCGAAGGTGAATAGACAGATGTAGGTAGAGGTGAGGAGGTTGATATAGAATACAAATACTTCCTCGAGTACGGTGACACTGAGAAGAAGCATTGACATCAGCCCGTTGATAGCCTTCTCGATTCCAGATGCGGTGAGTTCGTTCACGCCAGACGACATGTAATGAGGCATGCTCGCCATAGCGCTTCCGACATTTTCCACGCCAGTGCAAGCAGAGAGAGCTTCTCTTTTTGCGGAAGTCAAGTTTGTGTTTACACTTCCGATGGCGAGTAGTGCCCGTATCAGGACGAGAAGGATCAGAATCGTCCAGCGGTTGATCCAAACCTGCGAGAGCCTAGCTCGAAGGCCAAGGTATGGTGTTAGGTATGATGTTTGATCGGAGGACGGTCGTGGTGCATCTTGCGTAGCGTAGTAGTTCCGCATCTCATGGTCGCCAGCGGATAGAGAAGGAGGCGCAGCCGGAAAAGCATGCTGTTGGATCTCTGCGGAGGACATGGTTGAGGGAATGAGGTGTGAATATCTGACCAGCAGGATAGGCGTTAGTGGATGGTAGAACACGAAGATTGCGGCGCGAAAGTTCGAGTCTGGATTGCTAGAAAGTTTGTATGTACAATACAATCGAAAGCGATTGTCGGCAGAAGTAAAAATATGAGGATGAAAGGAAGACAATAGCGAGTTCGATTGCGGAGCGCACGAGAATAAAGACAATGGCTGTTTTTGAATGACAACAAAGAGACACATGCATTGGCTTACCTGGTTGTCGGTCATGGCCCAGTCGTGCGGCCACAGACCTCGCTGTCTGAGACTTGGAGCAGGGCTCCAAGTCAGCAGTTTCACGCGCCATCCCACTCACCCAGTCTCTATTCTGGGATATGGGAGTTGTTTCCTGCTAGAGCGCTGTTTCTATTAGCGCCCTGTGAAGGGATAGTTGACGGATTCGTAAAGCTGCAAGTCGGGTCTTTGATTGGGCGGTTCGAGCAACGCGCATGCGCGAACAAAGAACCTCCCAACCCAAAGCCCTCACGCTCTGTCTATTTCAATACACCGAAGCATATCTAGCAGACAAAACATGTTGACCCAGTTGTCGTTAACAGGGCGATTCCGTATCTCGCCCTGGGAGACTCCTCGTCCACGCACGACGGCGAGTTTTGAGACGAGAAGCCCGAGAGAAAAACATCAGCGCCTCGCTGCCGCTTTATCGAAATACACGCTGACGTTTTGTGGCTGGGCAAGGCAAGGAAGCCTGCTTGTACGCCACAAGTCGCGCACGTGCCAACAGCTCTACTTCTTCCGTTTCCCAGATGCTTGCCCTCTCCAAAACTATCCTATCAAAATGCATAACCTTTTCCTGGAATTCGAACTGCTCAGTGAGAGGCTCTGCCATGCTGGACTCTCAATCAAAAACGCATGAATCAAGAAAGATTCATGCCTTGTGATGGTAGGCTGATACACTTGCTATTGCTCAGCAAGTCAAGCACGTATCTGCTTTGCTCAGCAGCCTGATGAACAGCTCCCCTGGACTCCTTGGTCAGACTCTCGGCTTCGCAAACTGGCCAAAAAAACTACTGAAACTCAAAACATCCTTTAATCGGTTGTATCGCCCATGGAGACCATCTTTTGTCGACGCCAGGCTCATCACCCGTTTCTGGATCTCAATATGGCGACAATGCTATTAACCTCTGCAGAAACACACAATAGTACCCGAATTGGAACTTTTATATCGGAAGCTCTATGGATCCACCCCTGACTGCTCCGGACTCATCACTATGTCGTCCTACTTCCACTTGCCGGACAATGTTACCAGGCTCCGTCGAACTGCATGGTTTCGTCTGGGTGGTGACGTCGAGTACTGGGATTTCAATTTGCTAAAGATCTTCCTACCATTTTCGAAGATAAGTGACAACAAAATGCGACATCAGTGACAGAAACAATGAACAAAATGTAACAGCCAAGTGAATGGCATGTGCAAGGGAAGTGAATCTCCCATGATGTTCAACAATGAGTTAAGTGAGCAACTGAACAATAGACTTCACCTGACCTTCGAGTCGCTGCCTCATGTGACCTCATAGAAACCCGCGTTCGAACCCCCGTCAAACCATTTCTTTTACACCGACGTCCACCATGCATTCCTCCACTAAGAAGTGGAAGGCTCCCCGGGTCAAGGCCCGCGAGGAGGGCCAACGCAAGCTTAGAGCCCGAAAGCACATCTGTCCCGAATCGCCCTTCTTCACGGAGCATTTTAATTTCCAACAGCACGATACAAAGATGCTCAAGGAGAAAGAGATGTACCTTGAGCGACTTGTACCCGTCCGCATTCTAGTTGAGCCTTTTAGGGGAAAGATCTTCGCCCCAGTTGTGCTCAAGGTCTTCGACGAAGATTACCAGTACAACGACTCTTCATCTCTCGAGGGCAAGTTCTTGCAAACTTCGTGCAGTCCGGTACTCTGCATGCCCACCATTTGGCAGAGAGACTTTGATCAGAACAAGTACTTTGTGTACCCGGCCAACGCCCACACAACTTCTACTATCGCCCTCTTCCCATCCATTCAGGAGCAGAAGTTCGAAGGCAATGACAGAATCGCAACCAGCATCGACCACCGCCGTTACTTCCCTGCACCTCGCCATCCATGCAACCAAACCGTCAATTGGACTGTCCGCCCATTTTTGAAGCCTCATCAGTTTGACCAGATCCTGGAGAGTCACGCTCCCACTGAGGAGGAAATCTTCACATACGATTGGGAAATTGGTCTCCCTAATGATGAAGATCTTCAGGTCGGTCTTCCAGTTCCAGTCATTGGGGAGAATGGTAGTTCTGGCAATGAGGACGTCAACAACGATGATCCTTACGATGGTATTAAAGCTACTCGCCTGCTTGGTCACGACCTCCTCGCAGCTCTCGACCCCAAAAACGTCTATTTCTGACAGACGTCGATAACAAAACCTCGTCGTTTACGACCGCCAGACTTGAATCACATGTCTACATCTTGAACCCGCCTTCACAGATCTCAACCTGCATCTACATCTTCGTCCCTACAAAGATCCTTTGAAGATTCAACACATCGTTGGTCTCGCCATCTATCACATCTCCTTTTCAGTTCCTTTTTCGTTACACAATGCGTTGTTGTTACATCTGGGGCACGCTTCGAACGCGAAGCTCACTAATCTGAACACTCGAATGCGAGTATATCTCTGATTGTTCCTGCTTTTCATCTCATGATTCTTAATCTCGGTACTATGATACCATCCTAGCGCAAATCGAAGAAATGCTAATTTTCTCAGTATTCACATTTTCTCGTCATGATCGGTGCATGTATGACATCTTCCAGTGACTGTAGGCGTTCAAGATCGCGGTTTTCAGTGGATGTTACTCGTTTTGAAAGCATTATGCATTTCTATAGGACACAATATAGCCATATGTCAATAGGGAGAAGCAGACGCGGGTTGTTCGTGGTTCAGTACGACTTTCCCATGGAAACACATATGATGAGAGGTACACCGTCTCAATTCGCGATGACATTCGAAAAAAGGCATCGTGCACAGAAGCCATAGCGATGGATCGCCTCTCAGTGGAGACTGTTCGATTCTAAGAACTACCGCGCATCTTCATAGTGCTATATACTCCGATATATAAAGAGGGAGATTCAGGAGAGTTTCGCAATGAATGGTGCAAGTAGAGACAGGGTGTTGGAAGCAACAAACTCAACCCGATGACGAGTTGCGGCATGTGAAACGTACGTCATCAAGACGGGCATGAAACTCCACCTCGCTCTCTCCAGATCTTCACGTTTTAATTAACCTTTCCTAGGTACCTTGATCTATATGCTCTAGACGATCTATACATCAAGATGAGCATGTTCTCAAAACTTCCGTGGAGCTCAGGCGGCGAGCAACAACACCAGCATGAAGAAGAGCAATCCCTCACCTCAGTGCTGCCAACACCACAAGCGCGCAGCGATCTCACCTTGCTGGTCGCCAACTGCACCGAGACTATGAGGAAGAACATCACCGACACCTTTGATCCCGATCAGGTCGGCAAGATGGAAGACATGATGTCGAAGCTCAAGATGGACGAGAGCGCTCAACAATCCGACAACACTACGGATCCCGCAGCAACTGGAGACTTGACAGACGAAGAGAAGAAACGAGCAGAAGAAGACAAAAAACGAGCAGAGGAGAAGGCAAAGAAAGAGCAGGCAGAAAGAGAAAAGGAGTTGAGTGGACCCAAGATGCAAGAACTGCAAAAGGCCGCACTACAACACTTTGACGACTGGCGTGACTCTGTGCTGCTACGCATTGGAGAAGTCGTCAACCAGCGTGAGGAGGCAGTTTCTCAGAAGAAGGAAGCACATGCACAAACAACTCGTGTGCCTCCCAAGAAAGCACCAGAACCGTCCAAGTACGATGACGGTGTTAGTAACGCACTGAAAGAGTTGTGTCCACCCACAGAAACGGCACTAGCAGAACTGGAAGAGCAGCACCGTGCTTTGATCCTCCATTCGCTTCTGCTATTGCTGCTGAGTTTGGAACACTACTCGGCCCACTCACGCGTATTGCTTCTGCATATGACGAGCAGCCTGAATCTGTCCATCAGCTTCTTGGCTGGCGATGAGAGCAAGATCGCTCGTGGATTGCTCTCTGCAGTCGAGATGAAGGCCGATGACGAGACCAAGAAAAAGCAGGAAGACAATCAGAACTCGAGAAAATGGAAGGTCGGTCTAGCTTCAGTAGCTGGTGCAGCTTTGATCGGAGTCACTGGTGGTCTTGCAGCACCTCTGGTTGCTGCTGGTATCGGTTCAGTCATGGGCGGTCTCGGTAAGTTCAGTCTGTCGTGTTNNTACCTTCGAGTTACTTATCATCATCTAGGTCTTGGGGCTACTGCCGCCGCGGGCTATCTCGGCGCTGTCGCTAGCAGTTCCGTCATCGTTGGTGGCCTCTTTGGTGCTTACGGCGGTCGTATGACTGGACAGATGATGGATGCATATGCCAAAGAGGTTGAAGATTTCTCCTTCGTCCCTGTCCGCACCTACCACAAGCCTCGCAAGATCGACAAGGAATATCGCCGTCTGCGTGTCGCCATCGGTATCTCTGGTTGGTTGACCGAAAAGGACGAAGTCGTCGAACCTTGGAAAGTCATCGGACCAGAGATGGAAGCCTTTGCCCTTCGATTTGAACTACAGGCTCTACTCAATCTTGGGAACTCACTCACGACTATGCTTCGCTCAGCGGCATGGGGTTATGCAAAGAGCGAGATCATCAAACGTACAGTCTTCGCGTCTCTTACCGCAGCACTATGGCCGTTGGGTCTTCTCAAGGTTAGCAGAATCATCGACAATCCTTTCAGCGTGGCCAAGTCGCGAGCAGACAAGGCAGGAGAAGTTCTCGCAGACGCACTCATCAACCGCGCTCAAGGAGAGCGTCCAGTAACACTCGTTGGCTACTCTCTCGGTGCTCGTGTCATCTTTACTTGCTTGAAGTCACTAGCTGCAAGAAAAGCATTTGGGCTTGTTGAGAATGTTGTTTTGCTTGGTGCACCCACTCCTTCTACCGCAGCTGACTGGCGTCTCATTCGTGCTGTAACTACAGGAAGGGTTGTCAACGTCTACTCTACCTCTGACTACATTCTTGGTTTCCTCTACCGCTCGTCAAGTATCCAATACGGTGTCGCAGGTTTGGAACCAGTCTCTTTCGTTCCTGGCGTTCAAAATGTGGATGTCACAGATCTCGTTGCTGGAAACCACACTTCGTACCGGTACCTTTGCGGTCGTATCCTTCGTAAGATAGGCTTCGAGGATGTAGACCTTGCTGCTGTTGAGCAAGAGGAGAAGGCACTCGAACAAGCTACCAAGGCAGAGGAACAAGAACGGAAGCAGAACGAAGCCAGCACTAAGGAGGGAGCAAGTTCGGAAGCAGAAGTCAACGAGATGGAAGGCAAAGTGCAGCAAAAGAATGAGGCATCCATGATGGATTGGGCGGGCGAGAAGTTCAAGGCTGGTGGCGCTTCAGCATCGAGCGCGGCAAACCAAGCAAGAGAATGGGTACAGAGGACTGCCAGTCCAAGAAGTGCAAACCAGGGTGCAAGCAAGGATGTCGGCGGTGCAGCTGGAGCTGCTGGAGGTAGTTTTATCTGAGCAGTGTCTAGTCGTATGATTTTCCTTCTCAATGAAGGATGTCTCGACGCCATCGCCTCACTGGTTGAGGATGTGGTACAGAAGTGAGTGAACAGTAGTCATTGTCTTTTCAGTGTGAGTGTTTGAACGAAAGCAAGATTTGGTTGTGTGATAGTGAAAAAGAGCGTCGAGCGGCTTTCCGCAGCATCTTGTCGCTGCGCCATCAATGAAATCCACGTAAACAAAGCTCGTTTGGTTCACTCCCCAATTCTCTTGTCTCTCACCTCGCTCACCTTCTCCTCTTTTCTCTCTCTCGCGACTCCCACTCCCTTTTGATCACGACCTTGAGCGTTACGCGTTGCTTCCGGCATAGTACTGGTTCGACCTTATCGCTTCCTTCTCTCCCTTCCCACCTCATCCACTCACACCACCTCATCCTTTACTTCTTTCTCTTCTACGACGCGCCGAAAAAGATGTCTCAGCCTCACTCGCCCCAGGCCCCTCAGGCCCCTCAGTCGCCTCAGCCGCCTCAGCCCCCTCAGGACACCCAGGACCCCCAAGCCCCTCGCGGTCAGCGTCGTCCCATGTTCCCTCCCTGGAACCCCGACCTTGCGAAGGAGACTTTGAAGGCGCCTATGCCCAGTCGCACCGACCCCCAGAACGCCGCCATCATCCACAACATTGACCAGCATCCGGCTCTGGCTACAATGCCTCGAGGCCCTCATCAAGACTCTTTCGTTCTCGTGCGCGCTTCCACTCAGCTCGCTCCTGGTCCTCACAAGAACCAGTACGTCAGAACATCTCAAGCCGCTCAGATCTTCACTGCTAACATCATCACAGGCTTTTGGAGTCCGATTACGATGGCAGCCTCGACCAGTTCAACGAGGGCACCCAGCCTATCACGAAGTGTGCCATGCCGGTCATGTTTGTAGGTGGCGAAGGCGAAACTGCAGTCCACAGACCCGACTTTGCCAAGATCCAGAATGCATGCAAGACAAAGAGGTCCTGGCACCATCTCGGGCTCTGCGGATCTCTTCGATTCGCCGTCGAGACCTTGGGTTATTCAAGACCCCTTCCTATGGAGAAAGTTGTCATCACAGCTGTGCAGGAAGGTGCTTCAGCATTCATCGCTGGTAGTTCTGGTAAGTTTTATAACACTGTGTCTCGTGTGCTTTGTATCGCTTGTTTGGTAGGATCATGGCGACTATCGACGATGACGTAGATGTTAGATGCTGCTGTCACATCGAATATGACAGGTTTGTTGAGATCAGCCGCCGCTGCTAATTCGGCCATTTGTATCACCTCTTCTTAAGATAAAGGTAGTTTTCACTAGAAACAGGCAAAAATATTACATTATACGTAAAAAAGTTGATATGAGAACTTGAAACTGTTTACACTGAGCTTGGAATTCCTCATGAGTCCTCCTCAAGTGCCAATGACTGCAGGTATCTGGCTGTAGAAATGCACAGTGCTTTGTAGAAGATAGCCCACGGAGAGCCATTGTATTATGGTATCTCTGTGATCATGGCTCTGAGTTGAAAGCATTTCTGCATTTCTATAGCTTAACTACTCTGGATGTCTTGCTATGGGAGAATGGATGATGATGGCGGCAATCTAAGGGACGCTCTGGTCGAGGTCTCAGCGGCTACCGCTGAAGATCTCAGACCGAAGCCGTGGACCGGCGGCTATCCGTGTTTGTGGCCTTCTTGAGCCTGGAGACGACGACGAGCAAACGAGACCCTCGAAGAGCGAGCGAGCGAGCTACGAGCAAGTGAGTCTGAGAGGGGCGAAGGAGCGAGACGTCGTGAAAGGTGAGCGACTTCCTTACCCTACGCTTACACCTCCTGTGGTACCACTAGAAGCCTGGGAGCAATGCCGCCCAGCGGCGACCAAGATCTGATAGTAGTATATCACTAAGTTTGGATCATAAACTGTTCTTCGGAACATGACAATCTGATATTTAGTTTACAAAGAGAAGACAAAACACAAATTGGCTTGACTGGGCATCCAGATTAGCCAAGACATTCCACGTGGTAAAATCTGGTGACCAAATATTACATTTCATCCATCATAAAATAGATATCGGAATCTCTACTTGCTCTACGCAACGTCAAACGCTCTTCAAGTATTCCTGGCATCAAAAAGAGCAAAAAAATTTGTAAGTCATCTTGTTTGCATGTGTCTGAGAATCAGGTCAATTAGTGTCAAAGTATCGACATCGCAGAGATTCGAACTCACCATCCTTAGTGCAGGGGCCATGCTAATCTTCTCTGTATAGTTTCAAATTGACTAATGGGTTTTTAGGCCCAATTATTTTGCCAAATAATTTGCAGTATGTAGTTTGATCCAGCACAGAGATCAGTCGACTGGAAAAGTGTGACCAACCATACTTTCGCTGCGGGGGGCTAAGTGGTTAGCTCTGCGACACGTTCTCCATGCAAACATCGATGACTTACAAATTTTTTTGCTCTTTTTGATGCCAGGAATACTTGAAGAGCGTTTGACGTTGCCAAACGAGCCCTCCGGGGGCGTTTGGTTGGACGTCGGGTCACGGCCCTTCTCTTTTTGTAGTCACTGCTCCTCTACTCAAGTACTCTCCCCAAGTATTTATACTTGCCGTTTTCTCAGGTGTCAGAAGATCTATCAGGTGTCACCACTCAACTCCAGTCTCCATTGTGCATACTACAAGCTGGAAGTGATGGGCTATCTTTACAAGTTGCTCGCTTGCATAACCCCCTATGCCGAGCATATGCTACAATCTTTCTCCCATATGATGAGCGATGTTACAGTGTACTATAAAATTACACAATCGCTTGCCATGTTAGACGCGTGGCCGCAGAGAGACCTCCAAGCTGTCTGATCTCCCTGGATATCATAGTGTGTTGGAAAGCATTGTGTATTTCTACAGCGCACCACACCGCGCTTAGCTTCCAAAGACAAGAAGAGAAGATTATAAAAGGGGGAGGAGGTGGGTTCAACTTACGATCAAGTTCTCCCCATGCCATTGACAAGTGAAAGAGTTTGCTAACGAGATGCATAATAGCTTACAGCTGGGATGAAAGACCATAGAGATCTTCTAAAACTATATAGATATCTCCTTGGTCTTTACATCGTGTCTGGAAAGCGTTGTGCATTCCTATAGCAAGAACGCTCCCAAGCTCTGGACGAGGGAACACGCACACGGAGCTTTCAATGAATGCTTCTTTCTACTGAGACATTAATGGTGGGTAGCCAAGTTCAGGAGGCAACTCCAAAACCCAGCGATCACCGACGCATCGAAGGTCATAAACTTACTGGTAATGTCATACATCGTAGCGCGATGATCCGAAGGATTGCGCGGAAGTTGACAAACGTCCCTTGAATCGAGGCTCAGATCTCCTCCCAAGATATACCCGAAGGTCTGGCGTTCTATCTGAGCAGCGCCATTGTGCAGCAAAGACTTGTTGCGTAGTTGTCTTGCTATGATGAGAAAACAGGTCTGTATACTGTTCGGATTCCCGAGCATATATGCGAAAGATGCAACTCCTGGCATTGTAGCCACAAATGGGTCCTTGCCCATGCGAAAATAAACAACTTCATCCGTTCCAATCCGGCCCCGGGACTCCATCATATATCTTGATATCGTGACGGTATCTTCGGCCTTTGCTTATACGTCGAGCCACCGGATATTGGTAGGAAGACTTCCAATGGTAGGAAGTAACTGGCCATGCATAATCGAGCAACACCGCCGTGGTTTTTTGACACGTATGTGACTGCTGACAGTCTGGAAGAAACTCGTGGTAGCATTCGTACGGTAGTAACTAATCACATCCTGATATTGATGGTCGTCTAGTACTCCAATCTTTTGACGCAGACGAACCTTCAATTATCCGAAATTGGGTTTTCGAGCAACCTTCGAGATATCTTTAGTTCTGATTTCGAAAGAAAACTCGATGGCGAATTTGGCCAGACAATGCCTTCAGCAATTGGGTTCAGTTGTCTTTAGAAGGTTGTTGCGTTGATATCAAGTTTGAGCAGATGCGATGCTTCCAGCGACTGATTCTAGTCGTCCACCCTGAGAACACGACTCTTCAGAAATCGGAATCTGGATTATTGGGCAATTGACATGTCGATTTTTGACAAAGACGATGCTTCCAGCAACCAAATCTAGCTGTTTCCGATCCAAGGTGGCCCTTCCAAAATCCAAACCTGGATAGCCATTGAAGTATACATGCACATCTAGATCTCGTCGATGAGAGAAGGAAACCCTTCCAAAATCCAAATTTGACTGGCCACGCTACCCTCGAGATGTGGTTGCGCGTCTGGCATGTCAGATCTGGCCGCAAGCAGACTTGTACCATCTCATGATCATTGTGAATCACAGAGACTTGAACGCTGGTGAAAACCGTGAAGTGGTTTCAATTTCCTCAGGTCATGCTCGAAACTCAGGACTGATTTCAGTATAGCTCGAGTTGTCTAAGATGGCTCTACTATCCAAGGACAAGCAACAGAAATACTGACCGGTATACCTTACTGCTTAGGTCTACTTCACCATGGAGGAGGGGCTGAACTTTTGTTGTGCTAGACAGTCTGGTTGAGCATACCAATAGTCCACAAGGGCATTCCTCTTTCCTACTATCAGAGGTACACTACGACCTACAGGTCAAGAGCATCCGACAGTAGAATCACCACAAGGCCAGAAATTCTCCTCGCTCTCTTGAATGAATATCCATCTCAGGGCCAATAGGTCTTCAACCACTCTCTTCCTTCTACAACCCAATCTGTCTCCAATCCAACACTATCATTATCGAATCCATGCTCTGCTCCCGGGATAAGAGTCTCTTTCACGCCTCCCCGAGCTTCTTGCACAAACTTTAGTGTCCCATCTACTGGTATAATTGTATCCTCCTCCCCATGAAACATCCACGTTGGCGGCAAAGCTTCTCCGTTCTCTTTCAAGGCTCCCAAATTTTCGAGAGGAAAGAGCTTGGGATCACTACCAAGAATCTCTGTATATCTCCCTTCCAACAATGAAGCGACAAATAGGTCTGGCTCTCCTTCCACAGGGATCCTTTCGGTGATCGGCTTCGCAGACTTTGCAACTTCGAGTTGCTGGTCAAGCCATCCATCCGGGTATGAAGGTGGTGATTGGCCCCAGATGACTTTTTGACCGGGTTTGCTGTACCATGCGTCTTCAAGGTCAATCATAGGGTAATGTGCGATGACAGCTTTGATTCCTTTGGTCTCTCCAAGTAGCACAGATTGGACGGCCATGTAGCCGCCTGCTGATTCTCCTGTGATGAGGATGTCGGAGAGATCGGCTGACGGAGTCTGCTGAGAAATTGAAGCAATCAAAAAAGAATCAAGATGGCTATGAAGCCAGACATAGAAGTTATGTAGGTCGGACAATATATCAAGACCAGACGATTCGGGCAACAGACGGTAGTCCGGAGCGACAATGATTGCATTATGGAAGGCCGCAAGGTCGACAATNCCTGAGAATAGAGGGACGATGTTAGTAGACTTTCTCCGCAATAAGCTCTTGAGAACAATAGTAGCACGCTCATTCAATCCTCTCTATGGTTGCGTCGAGGGTGGAATGTTTGCTCCTGCTTGCTTGATCCATCAATCCCGTGACAGAACGTACCATTTTGGAAACCAAGGCTCATACACTCTACCGCCATTGATCAATGCTCCGCCATGCCATCTTACGAGTACTGGTAGTCTTTGTCCTTTTCCAGCACTCTTGGGTACGAATACACTGACTCCGATGGAGAGATTATCCGAGGCGTATGTTGTATCTTCCCGGTGGAATGCGTGGAATTTCGTAGTGAGCTCGGAGCCAGCCATTGGTGAATATATATCTTGTGCGGGTGAAGGGTTGTTGTCCAGAGAGTACGAAGAGAGACACGACAATGTGGTTGGATGTGTCTGTGTTTAGCCTAAGGTGCGTTGTTGGCGGGGTATCTCGGTACGATGTTGTACCGGGTTATACAAATGAGGGATGCAATCGTACAAGTAAAGTGACACAAAAGAGCGATGTATAAAGATGGTAAGATATATCATTCATCATTACTCTAGCTAAGACTTCCGAGGGCTGGGTACTAATACAAAAGACATAGACATCAATCATAAAAAGGCGTCAAGGTTAGCTTCTCACTCGCAGTAAGCAGTGTGCAAGAACAGACCGTCGGCAGCATCAATCTCAAGCTCAGTACCCTGAGCAATGAAGAAGACATTGCCCTCAGACACGTCGTAAGACTTGCCCTTGGCGGTGAACTTGCCCTTGCCCTCAGTGACGAGCACGATGCTGGGACCGTTGACAGCACCGAGCGTTTCCTTTTCGCCCTTGCCGAGTCTAGACACGAGCATGTTGAACTCGCTCATGGGAGGTCTATAGACCTGAGTCTTGCCGTTCTTGCTGCGATCGTAGGATTCGCCGCGCAGCATGCATGCCTCAGGGTCGTGGGGCTTGAAAGTCAGGGTAGATGTGAAGAGATCGGCAGAGTTGCGCTCGGCTTGAGGGCAGAAACCAGTGTTGAGAACGTTGTCGCTACGAGCCATACACTCAATAATGTCACCAGCGAGGTAGGCGTGGATACCATCGGCAGGGATGTAGATGCCTTCACCAGCCTGGAGAACAAGGTAGTTCATGGTAACAAGGGCCACCAAAATACCATTGTCGGTCTTATCATACTGCTCAGCCAGACGAGGAATAAGCTCAGGAATGTATGTGTCTTGACCAAATGCAGACTTGTCGAGCTTGGTCAAAGCATCAACGACAGAACCAACAGTCCTCTCATCAGCCTTGAGCATAGTGTTGACAGTCTTCTTGAGTACCTCATCATCAAACTTGCTGTGTTGTGGGACGAATTGCTTCAAGGGGTCGATCTTGAAGAGAGGTTCGATGCGATCGAGAGGCTTAAAACCGCAAAAAGCTTCAAACTTGGACAGGGCAAGAGCAATCTCGGGCTTGTGGTTGGGGTCTGTGAAGTTCTGAGGGTCCTCCTTGTGTAGCTTGGCGGCGAGTTCCTTGTTGGGGTGTAGTTGGAGGGGAAGGGCTTTTGCAATGGACAAGACCTTGGGCAGGAAAGGAAGGTTGGTGTGGCCAAACTTGTCAATGACGTTCTTGCCGATGAGCTGTTCTGCGTTCTTGTCGATGACTTGTTGCAGGTCCTCCATTGACGACTTTACGTATGAGGGAAGGACTGGGTAGGTACCCATCCACNNCTAGCAGTCTTGTCAGAACCGTATCTCGTATGTCAAGCAACGAGGAACATACATCTCAGCATATGACTTGCTGTCGTCAATCTTGAATTCCTTATGGGCCTTCTCGCCATCCCAACCGGGGGTCTTTNNTTCGCAGAGACGTGCTGAGATAGAGTCACGACCTTGCTTTCCCCAGGGGTATTGGTTGCAGCTGCAGCTGAGTTGAAGAACGGAATCGACAGGCATTTTGTGTGTTGTTGAGTGTGTAGTAAGGCGAAGAGGATGTGTGAGTAAAAAGTAGAAGAGAGAGGCCCAAACAGAGGTTTTGAAGGCGTCGATCGAGTGGGATGTTTTATTATGGAATCGCGCGGAGACCGTGACGTAGGAAGCCGTCACGCTCACTCACTTACTCGGCGGACCTACTTCGCGTTGTCATTTGTGTGGGACCTGAGGTCTTGGGAGTTGCTTTGAAATGCATAGGCAGTTGCAAATCCACACGCATCGTGATGAGAGTTGACCATATATTTCCAGAAGATAGACCCGGATACTGTTTGTATTCCGGGAGTCTTCTCCGAAGCTTTGCTCGGGAGTGTCAACTAGGTAGTATTCAAGTGCTACCTCATCTCTGTACATCTTGTTAGCAAAAAGATACCCTGGCTACGGCCAACAACTCTGTCCGATCAAGTTGATTGAACAAAGACGGAATTTCTCACCGTCCGAAGCATGACGAGAAGCGAAATTAGATGTCAGCAGAAAGATTCGAGCATATACGGCGCCAAGCAATAGCCCTGTAGCGCTCGAGGCAGAACGGAAGTCCGAGAGAAGGAGGCCGTTGAACAGACAGAAGACATGTCGGCAGTGAACCGTCTTGCATACGCCAGGCTTTACAGATGCTCAAGGTGAATATGTGACTTGTGAGATAGCGACGAACAGAGTTTGCACAGAGTAGAAGCCAGGGGCTCTTGTTGAGAGTAGAAAGGTAACCGTCGAAGCGCCAAGGAGATTATAGAAGGCGCAACTGGACACTTTATTGTTCCAGCCCTTTTTGTAGAAACACCCATTACCATCGACACATTTCCATTCGACACGTCCACGTCCTGATACGACCCCTCATCGTCGTTCCGGTCGTCTTGCAAACTCCTCTTTGCGAACTGTATCATCGAGCGACCACACAATGCAGCCATAGGAGCAGAGACACTGCCACCATTCGTTCCTTAATCCCGCTGCTGCTCCTTTTCCACCATCCCCATCCTCGACAGAGCCCGACGACGCATACCAAAGCACACGACCTCGGACGACCTTGACGAAATACGATCCACCACATAAAGCATATTCAAGATGCATTTCGCTTTTCCTCCACGCAAAACATCACATCCTCCGCCATATGCTGCGCGCTCGACTCGCTCGGCCTTCTTGCGCTACAGCCAGCTTCGGAATATCCTCATCCTAGCTGTTGGCGCCCTCGTGACATTATACCTGCTCTCTGGACTCTTCTCTGGCTCGAGCACCGTCTCAATACCTGCAGGAACACCCAAGGCTGTCGTCGTCACCACGCTCGACCCTTCGCTGAGTGAATCTTACAAAGCTGCCATCAAGGCTAATCGAAAGCACTACGCCGCTAAGCACGGTAAGCAGCCATGCGACCATCTCGGCCCACGCTCTTTTGCTGACAAGCTTCAACCTCAGNGCTACGCAGCTTTCTTCCCCAACACGACCGACTACCCTCTCGGTGACAACCCGAGCTCATGGTCGCTCGTACCTGCCATGCGCCACGCCATGGCTCTATATCCGCACACCCCCTATGTCTTCTACCTCACCAGTACGGCCTTGATCATGAACCCTTCGTTGTCAATTGAAGACCACATCATGGAGCCCCGCCGTCTCGAATCCCTCATGCTTGTCGACAAGCCAGTCGTCCCTCCGGATTCTGTCATCAAGACTTTCTCGCACCTCAAGGGCGATCGCATCGACTTCGTCCTGTCGCAAGACAACGAGGGCTTGGCAGGTGGTAGCATGGTCATTAGATCTGGAGAGTGGGCCAAGTTCTTCCTCGACTCTTGGTTCGACCCGCTATACCGCAGCTACAACTTCCAAAAGGCCGAAGCGCATGCCCTCGAACATATTGTCCAGTACGTATAGCTTGCGTCCTCTGAAAAATCATCCCAGCCAGCTAACAGAGCTTCCACAGATNGGCACGGCACAATCCTAGCCAAACTCGCACTCGTACCCCAACGCATCCTGAACTCATACACCCAGGGCCCTGCAGAAGGCATCTACAACGAAGGCGATTTCGTCGCAAACTTCCACGGCTGCATTCGCGACTCGAAACGCAACTGTGAGGCAGAAATGCAACCCCTCCTCACCAGATGGAGAGAAATCACTGATCGCGAGCGATGAGCAAGAGAGAGAAAGTAGCATGTACACGAGACAAGACTTGTTTATGGCGTAAGGGTGAGAGTCAAAGAATCTTCTGCCAGAGAGGTATAGATATTTACAAGAGGAGAATGGAGCAAAACATATATCAGCTCTGCATGTTGAGAAAGAGTTGCGGATGTTCGGAATTGATTCGGTTTCGAATCATGTAGTTGAGGAAGTGGCTGTCCAAGTGCTTGTCCATATCCATATCTGCCGCAAGAAAGACAAAAACATGACACTGTACAAATCGGTCCACAATCTCTTTCCATCAAAGGTTTCGTGATAGGCGACAAAAAGGTCAAGGAGGGCCTCCGGAACGTCATCCTCACACCGGCTGCATATGATCGGAAAATCGGGTAGCTGGCTTCGGTGCAGAAGGTGATCGATCAGGAAGACTAGCCGTACCCTTCCATGGGACAGACCAGGCCGCTATCTAGACATGCAAGATCAGGGGTGGATCGAGTCGGAAGGAGAAGAGAAGATGTGTTTTACTAGACCCCATAGATCATTTGTGTTCCGACCACGCCTACCAAGCGTATGGCAAGGCAGATTTCAATGTCTGGGCTCAAGTCTTACCGGCGGTGGTGCTGGAGTGTCCACCAACGTCGGCCCTCGCTCGAGTACGAGATTTGAAAAGGGGGAGAGCAAGAGCTAATGCCTTGATGAGAGACATCGCAGAGATGGAGTGGGATGTCTGATGTGAAGATGATCAAACTTGAAAACCCAGGAAACAGGCGATGAAAAAAGCAAAGAACAGCGGAGAAAATGATGGGAAAAAGAATTAATAGTGAGAAAAGAAAATTGGAGCTATGGGTCTATTCAACTTGTCTGTTCCATTGAACCTGTCGACAACAGAGGAAACACAAAGAGCCGTTGCTCAGGAAAACACTGGGCTACGCAAAAAGGGGAGGTGGTGGTATGCAAAGCAGAAAGGAGAGGAGCAAATGTTGGAGGAAGAAAGGGTAAGAAACAAAACGACGACGAGATAAGGTGGAGGTGTATAAAGTGCCAGGAGAGGGAAATGTACATGGTTGGCCGATCATGTCTCTTGTGCTTCATGCGTGTAGTATTGGAATCATGACTTTTTGTCTCATTGATGTGTAGTTTCTTCCTCTGATTGCCTCTTTGCTTCCATCTACTCGGCATCGTCGTGGTAGAATCTCTTCAGTAGGCGCTCGACAACCTTGAACTCTTTCTTTGCTTGTGCGATGGACACCTTGAGGTTGTCGAGGCAGACTTCGGCGTCGGGCTCGTCGCGTGTGCCCGTCTCGTCCTTGTGTGCGCCGTAGTGCTGGATCTTTTCGCAGTGGTCCTTGACTTTGGTCAGGCCAAGTGTTGCACTACTACCCTTGAGGAAGTGACCGAGGGCGCTGAGTTGGGCGAGGTCCTTCTTTTCANNCTGTTGTTCGAGAAGCCGCGTCAGCTTGGGTTCTCGTCTTTGTTTCGCCGCCTGAGGGGCAGCGAGTCTGGAAGATACGCACATGTTCTCCTCCATCTTGTCAAACGTGCTGTCGGCTTGCTGGAAGAAGTCGAAGACGATGCTCCTGCTGAAATCTCTCTCATCTTCATCATCGTCCATCTCGAGAATCTGCTCAAAGGTTGCGACGTCGATGTTGTCGCCAAAGTCGGAAAGTCCGATCGGACCGTCCTCGTTCTGTTGATGTTTACATTAGCTCCGAGGTTCGCGAAAAGACGAGTGCTGGCCGTATGTACCTTGATGTCAGCTGCAGGCATTTTGACGTGGTTTTGTTGGAGATCTGGAGTCACAGAGGTGAAGTGGAAGCGTTCGCGGAGTCGAGATTATGGAGTTCGGGCAAGTCGCGTGGCGAGGTTGTTGACCTGTTGACTTTGTTGATCGCCTGACGGAGGTTGAGCGGACCAAAAACAAGAACTCTTCGAGATGGCAGGGTCACGAGGAAGCTGAGCAGACGATGCTGTTCGAAGGGCGGCCGAGGCGTTCGTTTCCTCTTCAAATTCTGCACGGACGAATGACGTTTGGGAGGGGGTGCGTGGAGAGCTCGTAGCTGATGCGGAGTGCCAAAGAAGTCGTGAGTCGTCAAGAAGTCAAGACACACGAGACGTTGGAGTCGGAGGGAGTTGTCAGGATTGGAAAAGGAATAGAGACGAGGAGTCTGTGTATTAGGTTGTTCGGGAAGAAGAGACGTCGAAGCCGTGCCCATGCCAGGTCAACGCATCGAAGCCAGTAGTGCCATGGTGGGGTTTCCCTCGGCCAACTATAGAAAGATTTAACGACCTACCTAATCTCTGCGTGCACGCTGCACTCCCGGCACTGCCGTTTGTGCTACCATATCCCTGATTTCCCGCTCCACATGCCCTGTAGCTGGTGGCCTCACCGAACAATACAAACAGCAAATCTCCATGAAGACTCCACATCTTTTGATTGCTGGACCCTCTCCTACGCTTCCTCTCCAACTCCTTACTCTGCTAAGAGATGAAAGGTCATACGGGTCCTTTGAAGATGCTCATTTCTTTGTTCAGAGAACCTAGCACGTCCTTCCACTTCACTCTCTGAACCGGAGGATTATGACGTCCTCATATTCTCATGCTTGCGAACCCCGAGTCTCTTCATCCTTCAACGTTCAGCTGTCTTCTCACCACCTACTGCCTGCTCTATCTCTTCATGTTCAGCCTTGACTAGGGACAGGAGAGGATATCAAGGAGTAACCTGTCTTCTTTTGTACCATGCACAAAAGATCCAGCAGTTCTCGGCAGACTGTCCCAAAGAGAGAAAGTGATCAAGCCACGACGCTGCCACTTTAGCGCCTATGATGTAACTGTTTCTGTCTGACGACGACCCTGTCGCGCTGCGTTTTTGAGGCTCTTCAACCATTCACCCTCTTCTCCGTACTCGGAGCTGGAGGCCGATAGGTGTTCATGCTTCCAGCTCTTACAGCCTATCCTTCTTCGTTTCGTAAGACATCTTCGAGAAAATGGTTTCTTTCCACGTTTCGATCAAACGGTGTTTCTTGTTTGTTTCTTTTTTGCGAGACAGAAATTGTCCTCTGCTCCACCGTTGAGCAAATCGCGGTGTGCAAAGCGAAACCAGAAAACACCTTTCCCCCTAGCGCGCCGCGTTCGGGACTACTTCTGCGCCACAGCTGCCACGCGATCCTGCTCTGTCCACATTCCGACACCTGACGATCGCAAAAGTGCATTTCAGGGGCTGTTTGGTCAAGAGCCTCGTGAATCGTATGTTGCGACAGCGTGCGTGCGTGCGTGCATATGCTTCGACTGCATGCTGTCATGGGACAGATTGACACTTGAAGAAAGCTATTTTCGTAACCTGATTAAGACTTTTTTGGTTCTAAATCTTGTTCTACAACTTGCGTGCTCAATATCCTACATTACATACTTCGTCAAAAGGCAGACGTCCAGCTCCTGCTTTAACCAGTGACCTTGTAGATGGACTCGGCGAGACGCTTGACGTTGGCAGAGGTGATACCAGCGACGGAAATTCTGCCGTCCTTGGTGGCATACACGCTGTGCTCCTTAGCCAAGGCGTCCATCTGCTCAGGCTTGAGACCGGTGTAGGCGAACATGCCGATTTGGCTGGTGATGTGGCTCCAGTCGTGCTTGCTTCCGAGCTTCTCGAGGTTCTCCTTGAGGAGAGCACGCATAGTAATGATACGGTCGGCCATACCCTTGACCTCACCCAACCATTGCTTGTTGAGCTCGGGGTCGTTCAGGATAGTGGAGGCGACACGGGCACCGTGGACGGGAGGGTTGGAGTAGAGAGGGCGGACCAGGATCTTGATCTGAGAGTCGACACGCTTCTTCTCCTCGACGTCGGCGCAGACGATGGAGAAGGCACCAACACGCTCACCGTAGAGACCCNNTAGGTAATGTTAGCATGCGCGAATACTAAAATGCCATTCATGGATACTGACCATGTTCTTGGCGAAACTCTGGCAGAGGGAGATCTGGTGGCCCTCCTTGATGAAGTGGCGAATGGGGAAGGCATCCTTGTCAGTGTTTCCACTGGCGAAACCCTGGTAGGCCATGTCGAAGAAGGGGTAGTGGCCATTCTCCTTGACAACGTCGCTCAGAGCGCGCCACTGGTCCTCGGTAGGGTCGACACCAGTGGGGTTGTGGGCGCAAGCGTGGAGAAGGACAATGCTGCCCTTGGGCATGTTCTTGATGTCCTCGACCATACCCTCAAAGTCAAGGCCGATGGTGTCCTTGTTGTAGTAGCGGTACTTCTCAACCTTGAGGCCCGAGTCCTTGAAGACGGCATTGTGGTTGGCCCAGCTGGGGTTGGGGATGTAGATGGTCTTGTCGCCAGGGTAGAAGCGCTCGAGGAAAGCACCACCGATTCTGAGGGCACCAGTACCAGAGATGGACTGGGTGATGACGATTCTGCCCTCGTTGAGGGGTGCCGAGTCGGGACCGTATGCGAGGACAGCGGCGGCCTTGGTGAAGTCGGGCACACCAGTAATGCCAGCGTATTCCTTGTCGAGGTTCTTCTTGACGACTCTTTGCTCGGCCTCCTTCACTGAGGGCAGGACGTAGGGCTTGCCCTGGTCATCACGATATGCGCCGACACCNTTGAGATGGTCAGATATTGTCTTTGCTTGATGGCGCAGGTGGATCCTACCAAGGTTGATCTTCTCGGGGTGGCTGTCAGCCTTGAAGGCCTCGGTGATACCAAGAATAGCCTGATGGTCAGTCTGTTGTCATTATTTTGGTCGTTGGAAAGCGCTCACATCCTACAATGTTGTTAGTATGAGTTGCCTTCGCGCACACAAGCTGTTGTTACTCACGGGAGGTCCCTGGGGCACTTGCGACCAGGCCGAGGCGGCTCTGATGCTGGACTGCAATTGCAGGCGAAGCTTGGAAGCTTGAGCAGAAGCTCTCAAAGCAGTTCTGGATCCTGAAAGCATCTTGTCTTGTGAGGGAGGAATAGAATGACAATAATGAGAAAAAGAAGAGAGTGACTCCAAAAGTTAAACACGCCAGCAATGGTCGTTCTGAATCCTGGAGACGAGAGCTGGGGCAATGACGACCTCCGGCCTTGGCCGCGGTATCGGCCCTATCCGTGTGGCATGGTTAAAGACGCGTGAGAACCGACTTTAACCGATCCAGAGGCGTCTCTAGACTGTGCATATCAACAACACCTCTCATGTCATTTCAAGCACATCATTGCCAGAGTCACAGATGTTCGGTTGTGGTTCTGTTCGACAAACGCTGTCCCGATATGTGGCATTTGATTTTGGGAGAGCTTGCACTTCAAAAGTCAAGTAAATCGTTGGCTTGTCGCCAGTGTGCATAACGACGATTGTCACATGAGTAGGTAAATGGTCGAAGTGTCAGAGCCTCAGGCTTGATGAGTCTCATTCATGAGATGCTCTTCCGAGTGCTGAAACATGCAAAGCGTATAGCTGTAGAAATGCACGGTAATATCGAGAAACAGAGCAGTATCCACTGAGAGGCAATATCTTAGTGGCTCTCTTTGGCTAATCCTCTGCTCTGGTAAAGAACTGTGTCATTTTAGAAGTTTCTTTGAGTAGGCACGGCGCAGGAAGGCGCGTTCAGCAAACACCTTCTGGCAACAACCCAAACAATCCCTTTTCAGCACTTTTCCTCCTCCATCGTCTTCACCATCATCACTCGTCATCTGAACCATCGACTTACATTCGCCGCGCACATGGTCTGCAGCTCCAATCCCGGTGTTATCATGTGGCTGCTTCTCTTCGTGCCCTTCAGGGCACTCTATTGGCCCGATTGTCCCGCATCCTTCTTCCATCTCATCGGATGGCGCAGTGTTCTTCGTGTTTTCGTGCAAGGCTGGGCAAACAACTCAATCCTGAATTACTGCTGGGACTCCCGCGGCTCGCCAAAATCCAGCATCTCATGGCTCGTTGCTATGATCGATGTCCATACTATGTTCAACGCAGCAGCTCTCGCAGAAGGTAAACAGACAATCGCGCTGTGGAACCTGAAGATCTACCATGATGTTTTGCTCGACATCTTCACCCAACAGATCTTGCTCGTGTTTTCGTTGCGCATAATCCTCAGCCTCTTCATCAAGGTCCCAGGTCCAGTTTTTGCGAAAATCACCTGCTTCTGGGAGCTCTGGCATCTTGCTAAGGGTACCTATGAACAAGCTGTTCCCCAAGTTCATCAAAGATACGGTAAGATCACCGGCCATTGTTCAGTCTTTCATTCCAGGTCGTGGGCTAATTCTTATTCCANNGGTACAATCGTACGCCTTGCACCTTTTACGTACTCGATCGCCAATGACCAATTCCCGCCGGAAATCCAAAAACATCTCGAACTTAGATACTCTCATCCATCTCTCGCCCTGGCTCAGGTTTTCAAAGACGCATACCAGCGTCCTGCCCTAACGGAGCACCTCATGAGCGAAGCCCTCAGCAATGAACCAGTTATCGATGCCTGTATCGACGGTCTGCTTGACAAATTCGCCNGAATTCCCGACAAGGATGTTATCTCTATCACGAAGCTGCTCGCTTGCTTTTGCTGCGAGATCATAGGTGCTGCCACTACGGGTCACCAATTCAGGTTCTCGGAGAGTTCAGAAGGCCATTGTCTTGCTGGAAAGATTTCAAGCTTCCGGAGCAAGTCCATTCGCAACGGATCATTCTTCCGTTTCTATCCATGGATCACTGAGATCATAGCACGTGTTTCCTCCCAGGACAGCATTGCCGGCTGGTTTTCGTCGTTCAAGAAGACAATGATCCAAAGCTGCTTTTCAGCTGAGAAGTGCTTGGAGGCGGATACACAGGCCATGCAAGATTATCTCTTCAGCGACGAGTTCAAGTTTTTCTATACCAAGTTTGGCATTCATGCCTGCCCGAGAGACTACTATCATGGCGTCTTGTCATTCTTCATCGGAACAGCCGACCACATCGCTTCACATCTCCAGACTGTCGTGGCATACCTCGCAACTCATCCTGAATCACAAACCCCGATCAACGAAGAGATAGAGTCATGTTCCAAGGAAACCGCATTTACCATCGAGCACCTGCTGGATTTGGGCTCGCGACTTCCGTACCTGGACAGGGTCCTGTGTGAATCGAACAGACTGGTGGCTTCAGATGGACTCATTCTGAGCTACTTCGCCAAAGAGCCAGTCATCGTTGATGGATATCGTATCCCTGAGGACATGAGTAACATGGGCGAGACTGTGTTTGGGTTGTACCAATAGTNNTCTCAGTCTACCATTCGCCTCTCAAAACTTGCCGCCGGCCTCGACAAATCTTGATCTGGCGAAGATGCCAACCAATGGGATCCCGATGGATGGCTCGACAAGAAGAAAGAATCTGTGAGTCGAATTTGTCACTTTCCCATGCTTCGCGTCCATCTACCTTCACTTCGGGCCTTCTGAAGAATATGTGTTCAACTCTCAGGTTCCATGTGCTCCAATCTCAGGATCGAGCCTTCTCCTGAGCCAACCGACAGTGCTATGTTATACTATAAAAATGCACAATATTTTACCGATCGGAAGAGAGACCATAGAGATGGCTCTTGAAGAAACATCTCCTTGGACATGTCCTCATCCCAGAAGTTACCATGCATTCTTATAGACTACTATAGCACTGTTGGTCATCGTAGGGATGGCAGAACGATTGTCAAAGACGCAGGGACCCGGGTTGAGCACATATGTTCTTCCAAGCTTCACTTTCGCTTCTCACTCCTTGAGACTTTAACTTCCACCTTCACACACCCAAAAATCCCTTCACAGCCAGCCACATGAGATCTTCACTGCTATTGTCAGCTATTGTCGCCTTTGTAAGCTATTCACTAGCTATTGTAGATTTGTGACAATAGCAGGTGGCTGGTCAAGCAATATAAAACTTCACCCTCCTTCCTTGCATCAACTAACACATACAAGTCTCACAGTACAATTCCTCCTTACGGCAACGCCATATCAAGAGCAATCGTTGCAAAAGTTGTACTTCGACTCGTCCAAAATCACCAATTTGACGCAAACATGCCTTCTACCACACCAACCATCGTCTTTTTGTCTGCTGAAGACCTTGATCAGCTCCGCGTCTGCATCAAGTCGCGTGGCCTTCAGAAAAAGCTCTCTACTATGAACAACCCTCATGGCGCGACCCTCATGACCGTCACGCTCAATCCTACTCAACGCCTCCTCTCTATGTTCGAGGGCGATGCAAGAAAGAAGCTTCAGCTCTATCTCAACGATCCCACTCCATCCGCTACTTTTACCACCATCCAGTCTGTTCCTCTGAAACGCGATCAACGCAGAGAGGTTCACAATCTCATTCGTCAACTCTCGAAGGGCAACCTTGACTCCGGTCTCGACAACCAGACTTCTCGCATCGATGTCTTTGTCAGAAGGACTACATCTCAATACCACAAGCAGGAGAGCCAGCGTCCTCGCGTCCCTCGCCAGCAGAACACTCAACAGCAGCGTACTCCTACTAGAGCATCCCCTTATCACAACACCAATGCCACACGCAATGGACCTCGCAACAAGTTGGCCACAAGAGGTGCCGCCCCTCGCGCAGCTCCTTCGGTTCCGCGCACTGCTGAACAGCAGGCAAAGTTGGACGCCTGGATCGAGACACCTGCTCAAATCGCTGCACGTGAGGAGACTGCCGCCGAAGCTCGTGCTAATCGTCGCAACCAACCTCCCACAGAATTCAAGTCCGTTGATTGGGTATCGCTCGTCGATGTGACTTTCAAGAGCACAGCAAAGAAGACAGGACTTAAGTTGACTCCCGAAGAGCTTGCTCAACGTGCAGAGCGCAGAAAGAAGGCACTCCCACCTCACATGCGCGGCACCGTATCAGAGGCCCAGAAGGATGAATAGGGGGGAGGGGATGGTGTTGAGGAAGGATGGCATATGCATGATGGCTCGTCTGGTCTTCATCAGGGGTAGGATTTACTTTGCCGGTCTTTTTCTTTGTTCATATGAGGAGCGGATTTCGCTTTGCTTCGTTCTCATGCTCGATACCCATGAATTGCAACCATTCCACTTGTCAAGATCTTCTTCATTATCTGCATCTCACTGGTTGTGATTCTGTCTCGGACTTTTCCGTGACTTGTATACACAGGAGAAAGTCCTTCTATTGAAGAGGAGTCCAATTCAGATTCCGAGAGACATATTCTGAAGCAAGAAGTCAAGAGCTTCGAAGGACCACCAATTTTGCAAGTCACTGTGAAAGTGCATGATGCTATTAAAGACTCTTCTCAGATCCACGCAGTCATCAAACATTATCCACATCTCAATCTATTGACCATTATCGGAGTTTTGCATGCTTTCTTGTGTACATGCAACAACCGTTGCACTGAATCAAGCCCGACGACCTTTCGTGCGAGGCCATATGCATCCATCTCAGAGTTTTGCTTTGCGAAATGTCTCATGAATGCTGTTCTCCCCTAGCTTCATCAGCTCTTATGGAATCTCGTCCCTAGTCTGGGAGTAATTGCGCATCTCTATAGCTAGACTGTGGCCGTACTCGACACACGAAAATGTTTTACATATCATGCCTCCGAGATCTCTCTGACAGCCACTTCCTTGTAAGCTTCTCCAATGACTTCTCCGGTCGAGGAAAGCTGCTTTTTGACACCCATTTCACAGATGGCAATCTTCGTGATAGGGACCCCAGAAGCCCAGATGTGAGATGCGTAGGTAGAGATGAGGGACGTGGCGTCGATGTACAAAGATGACTTTGCTGATGGGCCGTGACCTGAGGAAGCTTGATTGGCTTGCAAGGTGTTTTCGCTTTCCTTTTTCTCTGGGTCCTCTGTCTTATTGTCCTCTTCCTCGGCGATTTGCATCGAGGGCGGTTGGTCTACTGGCTCTGTAGCATTGTTTTCGTCTTGCTCAGGCTTTATGACTTCGGACTTTTGTTTCTTGCTCTTCTTCCGTCCTTTGACGTATATTGTGTTCACGAGCGTAGCATGCAGTCTTAACGGCCGTATGTCCGGGACCAACAATCCGGCGTCTGTGAGCTTTTTTCGTAGTGCTTGACATAATATTTGGAGGCGGTTTGTTGGATCTTCGGGACGTATGTAAAGGATACTTGTTTTGGATGGGGATTGCATCGGTTCAAGAGATTCGAGGGAGATGGTTAGAGGGTTGTTGAGGAGGTCGGGTAACACGTTTTGGTTCGTATCCGAGGAATTCGAAGGTGCATGATCTGGCGCTTGAGTGGCGTTTGTGATGCTGTGTGGTTCGGTACAGGTGGATGCTTCATGGAGCAACTTGTTCAAATGGAGAGATTGGAGAAGGGTAGTAGCTTGGGCTAGCTTTTCCTCATCTAGACTCATGACTCCAAGGGTCAAGTGTAAAGAACCCAAGGGTCGGATTGCTTTTGCTGGTATCATGGGCGATGGTCCTTCTCCAGCCTCAACTGGACCGGTGGAACACACATGTTCCTTGAACTTTCCAATACTGGCTTCTAATTGAGGCTGAGAAAGCGAGTTTACAAGTGGAATGCAGAGAAAATGTGTGAGAGAAGGCTTCTTGGATATGTTCTTTCTGTTCTTTGCATGCCGAGTCATGGCAGTATGAAAGCAACGAGGAAGATGAAGTCTGATACGAGAAATTTGGAAGCAAAGGGAACGGGTAACAAGAAGCATTACCTATGATATGAACAAGATTTCAAGACTCCCGAGACAGATATGTTTCAGGATGATGTCGAGTACGAGGACTCGATGGTTTTGAGAAGGAGAAGTTGCGATGAATGGTATAGACGGCAAATGCCGCCATGACGAGGTGGAGCTCTAGAATTCCAACTCATGCGACCAGCTTTCTGCTTGCGCACCACGACAAGACAAACAACTATCAGCCATGGCAGACGTCGACACGGAATCGCCAGCACAGCGTGCAGCTCGTATGCGCCGCGAGAAGCGCAATGCGAAGATCCAAGCCGAGGGCTCAGACAGACTGGCCAGAATCACGCAGTTGAGCGGCAGACCTGCCCCTGCGCCTGAAGAACGTACGTCGCATGCAATCACTATGAATGCAGACATCTTGGATTAATACTCTTTGCAGNCATCCATGACACAAACCTCTACCAAGCCCGCGCAAGCCACGCCGACCATGACACCACAGCATGCATCCGTCGAGGACCCGGACGAGGTCGACATCTCCGAGCACTACTGGACACCCACTCCTTCCGACCAGACTCAACTCGCCCGCCTACAGCAACAACAGCAGCAACAGTCTCCCTTTGCACGACCAGGCCAGCAAGACGAGGATCCCATGCTCAAGATGATGCAATCGTTGCTCAGTGGAGACCCCTCAGCAGCCGGCGGCATCCCAGACTCTGCCATGGACGACCTGCCTCCCATGCTCAAGGCCATGATGCAAGGCCAGCGTGCAACTCAGCAACAAGCTTCACCACCCACCGGCTCCACCTACCTCTGGCGCATTGTCCACGCTCTTTTCGCCCTCGCTCTAGCCATGTACATTGCAGCCAGCGGCACTTTCAACGGCAGCAAGTTCTCACGTTCGGCATCGCTTCAAGAATCAGACTTTGGCCCTAGGCTGTTCTACATATTTGCGACTGCCGAAGTAGTGTTGCAGTCGAGCAGATACTTTATGGAAAAGGGAAGACTGCAGGGAAGTGGATGGTTGGCTACGATTGCAAACTCTGGCCTGGTGCCTCAGCCATGGTCCAACTACATTAGCATGTTGGGCAGATATGCTGTCATTTGGCAGACGGTTGTTGCAGACGCCATGGTTGTAGTGTTTGTGCTGGGCTGTCTTGCTTGGTGGAATGGTATGGCCACTGCTTGAGCAGTGGTCCATCTTCTCTGTAATCGCAGTAATTCATGACCGATGCAGGCTCCTCTTTTCGCCGTCTCTCTAGATTAACGAGTGTTCTTTTTGGCAACCGTAATCAACTCACTCAATCAACCGAAACGGCGGTCACAGCAACTCGTGTGTCAATATGCTGATGTAGAAACGCCATGTGCCCTTTTTGTACACAGCCAAAGAAACTTCGGTAATCCCAGCATCCAACAAACGCCATGCAGAAAATGTCGTCTCTCCTTCCCAGAAGATAATTGTACACGGATGGACCCGTCTCCTAAACAGCCGAGGCGACATCACCTCTTGCCTGGGCCAACAGAGCCTCCTCTCTCTTCTTCTTTTCTCTGACTTCCAAACTGAGCTTGCTGTCTCTCTCGCTACGAAGCCGTTGCTCCTCGAGCGAACGCAATGTCTCCAACTCTTCCTGTGTGGCCTCGATCTGTTTCGCGCTCGTGATCTTGATCAAGTCTGCCAGGATGTTCTCTTGGGTGCGGTTTGTCATGTCGATCGTCTCTGTCCTCGAGCTGGGCGAATAGTTGCTGGGTTCCTTGTCACCACTGGTGCTGGTAGTGGGAGCAGCACCGCTGGTCGGCGAGGCTTCCGGATCGGCGAANAAGACGGTCATCAGAGCGGGATCTGTTTGTGCGGCGGTGCGATCGAGAGTCATGGGGATGGCCGGGTTGTGGAATTTCAGACGGACGAGTTCGTGGCGCCAGAACTTTCTTGGGCCCATGTGACCGCCGTCGATTTTGGGAGCGAAGCGCATGTGGATACGGGAGATTTCCTTGGGAAGGACTGCTGCACCAGGACCGAGGCGGATGGCGAGGAGCTGNTGTGTTCAGGTCAATTTGGTGGTCGGCGGCGGGTGGTGACGAGAGTGGTGTACCTTCTGCGGTGCGTGTCAGTAGTGTTCAAGGCAGGGAATGATTACGAGACGTACAGTTTGCAGCTTGCGCATGCGCTGCAGTAAGGACACCATGGTGGGCAAAGGGTGTGTGTGTGAATTGTCGTGGCCTCGAATTGGTTGGCAGACGCATGTCCGTAAAGTTGCGGCCGTCTTCGACTTTCGTCGGCGCCCGAAGTTTGTCCGCCGCGCTGGTGCTCCATCCTCGTCTTCATCGCCGTTGGTCGAGACTACGAAACAGCTATCCAACCCATCCACTTTCCATCTACACATCTTGCATCATGTCGGTCGCCAACGGAGGTCCTCTCGCGACCACATCCGGCGGCATGAAGCCCGTCCAAATCGCCCAGGTCAAGGGAAATTCTCGCGAAAACCGCACCGCTGCACACTCGCACATCAAAGGCCTGGGTTTGCGCTCAGATGGCCGCGCCGACACGAATGCCCAGGGCTTCATCGGCCAGGTGGCTGCCAGAGAGGTTGGTCGGCTCTGATCCTTACGCGACCTCAATACTGACTTGGTCACAACAGNNGCTGCAGGTGTTGTCGTCGACTTGATCAGAGCAAAGAAGATGGCCGGTCGTGCTGTCCTGCTCGCCGGAGGTCCTGGAACTGGAAAGACTGCCCTCGCTCTGGCCGTATCGCAAGAGTTGGGAACAAAGGTGCCTTTCTGCCCCATCGTCGCCTCCGAGGTCTACAGCACAGAGGTCAAGAAGACCGAGGCCCTGATGGAGAACTTCCGCCGTGCCATTGGTCTGCGTGTACACGAAACAAAGGAGGTCTACGAGGGCGAGGTCACCGAATTGACCCCTGAAGAAGCCGAGAACNCCCTCGGCGGCTACGGTCGCACCATTTCACACCTTCTCATCACCATGCGCTCTGCTCGTGGTACCAAGAAGCTACGTCTGGACCCCAGCATTTACGAGGCCATTCAGAAGGAGCGCGTTCGCGTCGGAGATGTCATCTACATCGAAGCCAACACTGGTGCCGTCAAGCGTGTCGGGCGCAGTGATGCATTCGCTACCGAGTTCGATCTGGAAGCCGAGGAGTACGTTCCTGTCCCCAAGGGAGAGGTCCACAAGAAGAAGCAAGTCGTCCAGGATGTCACCCTTCACGATCTGGATATCGCCAATGCACGCCCTCAAGGCGGTCAAGATGTCATGAGCATGATGGGTCAATTGATGAAGCCTCGCAAGACCGAAATCACCGATAAGCTACGCGCAGAGATCAACAAGGTCGTCAACAAATACATCGACCAGGGTGTTGCAGAACTTGTGCCCGGTGTCTTGTTTATCGATGAAGTGCACATGCTCGACCTGGAATGTTTCACCTACCTCAACCGCGCTCTCGAATCCTCAATTTCTCCAATCGTCATCCTTGCATCCAACCGTGGCTCTACCACCATTCGCGGAACCGACAACCTCGTCTCCGCTCACGGTGTTCCTCCGGATCTTCTCAACCGCCTTCTCATCATTCCTACCCACCCTTACTCGGCCAACGAGATTCGCAGCATTGTTGCAACCCGCGCACGTCTCGAATACAGCAGCGCCGCACCGCCATCTCTACAAGCCGACAAGCCCGGTGCCGCTCAAGGGCTTGTGCAAACCACTCAGCTCGCAGATGAATCGCTGGATCTGTTAACCAAGCACGGAGAGCGCGTGAGTCTGCGTTATGCCATTCAACTCCTCGCACCATCTGCCATTCTCTCGCGATGCAGAGGCTCCGACAACAACATTGTCACAGCACAAGATGTCAACGAGGCTGTGGATCTGTTCTGGGATGCCGGTCGTAGTGCCAGTGTGTTGAGAGAGCAGGGCACCAGTACTAGTTTCATCTCATAGTAGAATATCTCGGTTTTAGCATGTGGCATTTAATGAAAGGTTTGGGGAGCAGGTGTTTATGGCGCAGACTCAAATGGCGGTATGGGGAGCGACCTCGCAAAAGCGGTAGTATTGTACGATTCGAAATGATATCAGCTCTTGACCAACGACCATTTTTTCATTCCTAGACCTCCACTTGTGCTGTAACGTTTGCTCTGCATCTACAGGATGACCGTCATGGTCTATCCGTTGTCGCTTGAGGCAACAAGACAATCACAGTCAGGGTCACCCCCAACTCATGAATGACGAAGTCCTGCATCTCCACATCTTTCAGTCGCAACCAAACCTTCGATCTTCCTCTTTCAACCTTCACACCAACATCACCCATAACAACAATCATGTCATCAACACTAAAGCGCAAGCCTTCTGTATCAGAAGATGAATCACTGGCCGAATCCTCCAAGCGTCGCTTCACCGAAACCACCACCGACGATGCAGCACCACCACAAGACAACGACATGACCTCAACAGCTGCCTCCTCAGCAGCACCCACACCAACATCAGCAGCAGAGTCCACAACAAGCACGTCCCAAGCCGACCGTCTCGCCCGCTTCGCCGCGCTCCGCAACAGAAACAAATCCTCCCGCGACGACAACCGCAAAGCCACAACCCTAGAAGTCTCTCGCGCCTCTGCCGACCCTGGTGCCCTGGCCTCTCTATTCCGTCGCAAAGAACGCGCGTCCGAAAAACTGCTGCATGCGCAAACACTCGAAGACGGCGACGACTGGGATCGCAAACGCGCCTGGGACTGGACGGCCGAAGAATCCGCCGCCTGGGACAAGAAGCAAGCAAAGAAAAAGGCACACCGCGATAACGTCGCATTCCAAGATTTCAGCCAGGACGCCAACAAAATCTACAAACGCCAGGTCCGAGAAATGAACCCAGATGTCTCAAACTACGAAGCAGAGAAAATGGCTGCGGTGGAGAGAGCTGCTCAATCAGGAGGCTTGGAAATTGTAGAAACGGAAGACGGAGAGTTGATTGCTGTGGACAAGGATGGCAGTTTCTACAGCACAAAAGACTCGACCGAGTTTGTGGGGAACAAGCCGAGTAAAGAAAAGATTGACAAGTTGGTTGGAGAGATACAAAAGGCTGAAGAGGTCAGACTCAAAAAGAGGAGGGAGAGGAGTGGCAAGGAGGAGGATGGCGATGTTACATACATTAACGACAAGAACAAGCAGGTAAGCTATGCTGCAAGGAAGAGTATCATGTGGAAGAGCGTGCTGACATCAATCTACAACNAGTTCAACCAAAAACTGGCGAGGTTCTACAACAAATACACTTCGGAGATCAGGGACAGTTTCGAGAGAGGTACTGCTATTTGAGCGACATGACTACTTTCCCATGTCCAATATCAATGTCAATACTCTACATTACGATCAAAGAAGCCAAGGAATGCAAAGAACGAAGAGAGGGCATACATAGCCTGTATGGGTTATTACAAGAGAGAGCACGACTTACCCATGCGCGAGCACCATGCCAACTCCTGCTTTCCAAACACATGATCCCTCCTTCTCTTTCTTCGTCTCGAATGACTCGATTTCATCAATCGAATGTAGGGTCCATGAACTCGACTGCCGGAAGTCTGACAAGCATCCAATTGGCCTTCTTGCTTGTCTTTGTTCATGTTCTTACTCCAACCAGTGTACGATTATTCGTCAGCACCTACTGATTCGTAAAGACATCTTCACATGCTCTGAAAGGAGGGTCAGCCGTCACACCAAAGTCTTCTTCTCTGACAGAGACGTTTAGATTATGTATTCCTTCCCTGCAGAATAACGTTTGTCATGAAAGCACGAGTACGAAGACCTGCGAGTAGCGGTCTTGTTCAACCAACTGAAGACAATAGACGGATTGGTCGAAATCTTGTTGTTCTTGAGGGGACGGTAAGGAGTAAAAGACGGGACTTTGATGTGGCGTGGCTTGGCTGCAAGATGGTAATGGTCGGGAGGTCTGGTTGACAACATGACTGGCTCGAAGAGAGAAATGCACTTGTCTTGAGCACATTGAACAGAAGAAACATGATCGCGATCAGACAAAGGTCAAAGATGTACGAGGCAAACAGTTCAAGGAACAAGAAACAAAGATTTTTGGGGTGGGAATCATTTTGAAATTTAGCACTCGTCTTCCCCAGTTGCCAGACCGCTAATTGAATAACAAAACGCCGGTCATGTCGCAAGCAAGACTTTTCATAGCTAAGAAGAAAACATTTAAGCGGAGCGCTCGAGGTCCTTCTTGAGGGTACCCATGAACTGCTTCTTCTCGGCAGGGGTCTGGTAAGCACCGTGACCGAACTTGGACGAGGTGTCGATCCACTTGAGCTCGACCTTCTCGGTGGCGCGACGGGCAGTGTGGATGAACATGGACTTGCGGAGAGTGACAACGCGCTTCTTGACACCAGGGACGGAACCCTTGAGCATAAGGAAGTCGTTGTTGATCTCTCCGTAGCGGACGAAGCCACCCATGGGAGTGATGGTCTTCTTGGAGACATCGAACTCGGTCGAGGCGTTGCCAGCATCGTCACCGCGGCCAATACGGTAGATCTTGTGGTTGACCGAGGTACGGTGGTGGTAACCGTCCTGACCAGCACGGGCAACGGTCCACTGGACTGAGAGGATATTAGTATGATAGGAAAAAAGTGTTCAAGTCAAATGACGAGACATACCGTGCGAAGGGTGCCATGCACCGATACAAGCGACCTTACGGAGACCCTTGTGGGTCTTTCTCGGGAGCTTCTTGGTGCCCCAACGGGAGGTAACACCAGAGAAACCGTGACCCTTGGTGACGGCAATGCAGTCAATCATCTCATCCTTCTCGAAGATGGAGCTGATCTCGATGGGCTTCTCGAAGAGGCCGTTGGCGAAGTCAACCTTGTCGGCAACGGAGCCACCGTTGACCTGGATCTCCATAAGGTGGGCCTTCTTCTGCTTGAGAGGGGTCTTGTGGATCTGGGTGTGGGCGAGGACACGGACGACAGTGCAGTACTTCTTGATGCGCTCGAGGTCGCGGGTGACGGACTGGCCAGCGTTCTCGGAGTGCTTCTTGGCGTACTTGGTGAAGGCCTTCTTCTTGGACTTGTACCAGTTCTTGTAGAAGCGACGCTTGACCTCGTCGGACAAGTGCTCGGCCCAGACGGTGGTCAGGGAACGGAGACCACGGGGAGTCTCGATGTAGCCAACAAGACCAACGGCGACCATNCTGAAGGGTGTGTTAGTGACTGTTCACAGTCGAGTCGGGCGATTGGAAAGGTAGCGTACGGGAGGGGTCTCGATGATGGTGACGGCCTCAACGATCTCCTTCTTGTGGAGCTTGGCACCGGGACGGTCGAGGTCGCGGACGATGGTGGACATGCCGGCCTTGTAGCCCATGGCAGCAGTCAAGTGGACGGGCTTCTTGGAGTCATCCTTGGGGAACGACTTGGCCTTACCACGGTGGTGGACGGTTCTCTTGCGAGGAAGGAAGGCCACTGTGCGCGCGCATTAGCAATTGGTCCTGGCGAGCTGGCGATGGCGCTGTAAGCGCTGGTACTGACAAGAGCCGTGACGGGGAGCCTCGAACTTTCTGTGCGACATGTTGACTGCTGTGGTTAGTGACAACGAGGATGACCTGGAAAAGCGAGAGAGCTGGAGGCCGATGAAATTTGCAAAAGCCCAGAGTGCAAGTCTTGGCACGGTGGTCCTCGCTTAGCCCCTGCGCACTCACGTCATGTGATTTGTTCCTTTCTCTGCACGTCTCGACTCTGCTTCACCTGCTCAACATCCACAGATTGTTCAATGCTTTGTGAAGGGGTGGCAAACAGCAAGCATTACGTTTCTTCTTCAATCCTGCACCTCATGTGGAGCAATGGATGACGATTTGTCTCGATGCTTGCAAGGTAAGAGAAACGCCAAGGCGAATTCAGAGTAAAGTCATCTTGAGCACGCGACTTGCTCCAGTCGAGATATCCTGTCGTCGCAACGTAATGTAGGTCATGCTGCTGGTGAACGCTTTGTGAATAGCTACACTGTTTCCTAGTTTTGCAGAGAGAGCTATGATAGCTAAGGGTGGAGCAATGGGTCGTCGTGGTTCAGTACAGAGCCAGCCAATGCTGCTGTCGATACCTTTCTCAGTGTAGGTCAAGGTAACTCACTTACAGGTTGGTGTGTAAGATTAGTCAACTCTACCTTACAAGACCTGCATCTACCTCTGGCTTCATTTCTGGAAGACTGAATTCAATTCGTCCTCACTCCTCCCAGACTGTAACTACTCAATTCTCCTTTTCTCCTTCCACCTCCAATCCAACAAACATCACCATGAACGGTTCTCGCCAGGACGTCAACAATACCACCCCTAAGAAGTCTTCTGACAAGGCCAGTGTCGATCACAAGAAGGGCGTCGCTCTCATGTTCTGCTCGGTGACTTTCAACAAACTGACTGTAAGAATACAAAGTGCTGTCAGGAGTAAGAGCAGCATCCACTGAGAGCTTTCTGGATAGTAGCTCTCTCCGAATACGTTTCCAGTTTAGATTGAGTTGTGCACTTCTATAACCCGGGCATTCTTTACAGCCCAGTAGTTGCTTTGCATGAGCACGAGGAACGCATCAAGGAGCATGAGAACGAGGAAGCACAGGGTGATGAGAGCAACGAGTCTCAAGCTGACTCTTAGCCCTCTCCGTTACACATCGGCGTGACAGTCGCACATGTACCACCAGGGACGGGCGACAGCTGTTATGGGGTGCAAGACATGTCGATAGTAATGTGAAAAGATGGAGGATCTGCAGTCGATAGTGAAACAGTGCGACCTCCAAGCAGATGAGATGGCCCGTGCCTTGAAGCCATTATTGAAGCAACCCGAAATAGCCTTTGGATCGAGTACCCTGAACGCGTTCGCCGGCGGCTGATAGGACTCATCGATTGCAGAGGGGCCCTTCAGTCTTTCCCGTCGCAAGTGTCGACAGAACACGCAGATCCCGATCGCATCACATTGACCTCCAGAGCACCAATGAGCCGAGAAAGACGAAGCAGGACCGCAAGAGACAGACCAGACCAAGAAACCCGCCGACTTGTAGGTGCATGGTATTCGAAACGACGGCCAGTGGTCTCAAACCTTCTTGTGTCGCAGGTGTCCACTTCGTACTCCATTGGGGCTACATGTCAAGACAGTCGCTCGTAAGCTAATTGCCTCTGGAAACACTCAACCCTTCGACCGCGAATTGTCCTCGTGCTCGAACCATTCCTCACACGATACGCTACCTGACTTGCTGCAATTCTTCCTCGGCGCATACATGAACAGAAGAACCTAGTTCAACACACATGTCGTGGCGACCGGTCAAGAACATCGTGCATGCTGTATGCGTGCAGCGATTCGAAGCCACTCACCCCAACGATATCGCCCTCGATATCGGCGACGATGTCTATGTTACTGAAGTAGGCGGCACCTCTCATGAGTGGTGTCGGGGCTGGCTACTGTCGCAACCATCCATCATCACCGGTCTGGACTGCCAGAATGGCCAACCAATCATGCCGCGAGCATATGCTGGCATTTTCCCTCGCAATTGCATCGAGGTCCGCGAGGTCTTGACTGAGGACAATGAAGTCGCCGAAGCCGAGAAGGAATCGTTGGGTACTGCACAGGCGAATGGTGGTGCTCAGAATGGTCACGACCCTCTGGAGGTATTGGACAATGCACCGCGAAGAGGGAAATCCAAGAGAAGGACTCGTTTGTTACCACACAAGCCCAATGATACTTCCCTCCTGCCCATGGAGGTGCAGCCGAGACCAGTGGGTGCCCTCAAGGAAGAAGCTCCACTGCCTGCCCTTCGAATCGGTGACGCGACCCCCTTCTCCAATGAAGAACCTCTGGTCGACGAAATTTCCTCATGCCTGCGCGAGTGGCATTCCACCCACGTACATCAGTTGATTCTCAACCATGAGTACGACCTCTTGGAAAAGCTTTCCACTCTGGCTGGCAGACTGGACAATGCACGCAAACAGCTGATACACGACCTTTTGACCGAAAAAGAGCTGGCGGCTTTGAGAGAGCGCACAGTCTGGGACCTGGTTGACGGAAACAAGCTGCTTCAAGGAGAAGTCATTGTGCGAAGTCCTCAGGAGAAAGGTCGTATTCTCACTGCGCAGGACAGTATTCCGGAAATGCTCGAACTACAGGCGCTCATGACCATGCGCGACCGGCCGCCTCCTCCACCTGCTCAAGAATCATTGGTCTCGCACTTACTGGTTGATTTGAAACAGACTGGTGACATGAGTGGCGAAGCTGGTGTTTTGCACATGTATCTGTGTCGACAAGCATCAGATGCCGTACCGCGTGCTGTGTCGGAGGTCTTTGCGGTCGAAGTGCCTTTCGATCGTCACTCTCTCGAAAACCTCACTCCTAATCAGTTGCCAAAAACGCTGTTCACGGACTTGACCAAGGCGGAGATAGGTAGTGCGACCGACCCAAGCTCTCATCTATATCTAGTCTGTCTGCTCCATCGAGAAGAAGCTCCCAGAAAACGGGCCATCGCACCTTCCCAGGCAATGCCGCAAGCAGACCGACCCGAATCTCAAAGCCGATCAGAAAGTACGGGAGCGCGTCGCAGTTTCCTATGGGGCAGTCAACGCGGCCGCAAAACTCTTGAACGCAGTACTTCGCGAGACCAAGCACGACCGCCAACTCGAGAAACATCAAGATCAAAAATGAGAGGCCGTCCACAGACACCTGTCGTGGTAGATACACAAGGACGACCCGCGACCGCAGAAAAGAAACTGAGACGCGTCATTGGCTACGGCGCAGTTGAAATTGGCGAGCTCATTCGTCAACATGGCAACACGATTGAAAACATCGCACTCTGGACTCCAGCTGAGGCCTTCGAAGAAGTCATTGAAGAACCCGTTGTCGGTGCAGATGGCTGGGAAGAAGTTATCAAGAATCTTGTCCGCAGTCCGATGGGCAGCTTCACTAGAGCGCCCTCAGTTGGCATGTTTCAGCTCGAGCTGCATGCATTTGCTCATCCAGATTCCGATGTGCTCATCAAAGAACACCCTGCTTTGTTGAGGGATGTCTATTGTACTCAAGCACTCAACCTGTCTTCTGGGTCAGCTCAGCAGCGTAGTGATGTTTACCTCACATTGAAAGAGCCCATCCTGCCATCCGGTGCTCGCTGCTTCCATCCGCAGGAAGGAAGTGTTGCCATACCTAATGAAGCGGACTTAAGAAACTTGCAACTGACGCTGGAAGTGCGGACTGAGGCAGGAAAACGTATTGAGAACTCTGTCTGGCCAGCATCCAATCGCCCGCCACATACTGCTTATAGAACGTCAGCTATTGACCGGAGTGAAATATGGAACCAGACAATTCGCTTATCGGTCCTCAACGAAGACCTGCCACATGCTCATGTTGTTCTCAGTATTGCGGAGGGCAATCAATTTCCTTTCGCATTGGCCTGGATACCTCTATGGGATCATCAGGGTGCTGTGTGTACCCATGGCCAACAGACACTGGCTCTGTGGGACTACAGCGAGTATACAGCTAGTACTGTCCATGGCAGGGGCGCTTATCAGATGTTACCATCACGTCTGGATCAGCTTCAAATACAGGACAATACTCCGATGGCGGCATTATCAGTGGATATTACGCTCAGCAGCAGTACTACCCCTCAGGATCCGACCATCAGCTCACTTCTGCAATGGGATGGGACAACGGTACAAGGTCTCATGCCCCTATTGGGAGGGTTCAAGCAGGCCCCTGATGCCGAGATTGTCAAGTTCTTCAAACCTGTTTTGACAGCGCTTGACAAGATCTTCGATGTATTCTACCGCGTGGTTGATGATACTGGAACAGGGGTCAACCTTGGAGAAACCTTCACTGAGCGAGCGTTGTCCTGTCTAGTGCATATGCTGCATCTCACACGCGATCGCAGATTCAATAGTACGAAGGGTCTATTTGACGAGTACATTCAAGAACGTCAACACTCGCAAGATGCTTCCAAGGGCGTGTGTAGGGCCTTGCGTGCCTTCATCAGCAGACCTTACGAGGTTGACGATGCGCGGGAGCTTCGCAGCACCTTGAAAGTCTCTGGCCAAGTCATCAAGTTCGTGACGAACCGCAGCCAATCTGGATCGCCACGTAGCATCTCGTCGTTGAACAATGCTGTCTCTTCCGTTCTGGTGGCACTAGTGAACCTGATGCGCAACCCAAGAGAGGACCTCTACGGAACTCAGACCATATTGATGCAACATTTTTCTTCATGGCTACCTGAGCTTGCTCATATCATGACTTCTGATGATATCCTGGATGTCGTTGATAACATGATGAATGCATCAGTCAGCAGANAGGGCGGTCTGCGCATACACAGACTGATCATGGTTAAAGAGTTATCTGGTCAAAAGACTTTCTCTACTTCTGAGACGCTGCCTAAGCTCCATACTTTGACCATAGGATGGCTTGAGGACTACTGGTCAGATGCGTCCAACTTGACCGAGCAAAAAATAGAAGGCATCAGAATGTGTTGTTCGATCCTACGCACTCAGCAAGCGCAGATCACCAACTCTACACAGTCCCTGCATTACATCTGGAGACTCGTAGAGGCATATCACGTCATCAACGAATATCTGAAAAGTGGAACAGATGGGAGAGTATCCTCCTTGTCCATCAATAGGTCGAAGAAGTCCCTTTCGTATCTTTTCCCGAATCATTATCCTTTCCTTAGCATGGCCGTGGATACGCCAGATGTACCTTCCGAGGTTTTGATGGAGATTGCTGCTGTGCTAGACTCTTTCTTCCAGAAAGGGTCACCACAAGGTCAGCTTTTTATGAGTGGAACTCCATCCGATTCAAAGATGATGCAGCAAGATTTCCTGATGAAGGCTTTCAAGGTGCTCAAATCTATTCACAACGGAGAAGCTTTCCCTACGCAGTGGCTCAGTCTGCATGTTACGCATGCGAATGTTGCAGTCCACGCTCTTCAGTGGTTGCTCGAGATTCTCTCTACAAATTTTGTGCCTTCTGAAGACGACAGCGGCGTCAATGATGTTATGGAGTTTAATCCCGATCTGTGGGAACTTTGGTTCCAGATTTTGATCGACCTTGCTCTCGGTAGAATGGTCTCTATGGAAACCTTTACCGAACAAACAAGACGAGCCATCTGGACGGTTGGCGGTGATATTCGGGCAGACGCTGCCGATCTACTTCAGAAAGGTTGGGCCTGCTTAGGTTGGCAGGCCCCGCCAGAATACCTTCAAGTGCTCTATCCAATGGACCGAGTTGGTGGATACCAAGTGGGGCTGTCCACTGAGGTGATTCCATCTGTCGTCAGACTTTGTATGGGGCTCCACGATCAATTGCAGTCTGTTGGTCTTGACATACTGCGGTCTATTGTTGTCAGCGAATGGCAACTGAATGAGAATTTGGCCGTGGTCCAAGCAGCCATCATCAATGCATTTGACACCATGCACCGTGAAGACACCACGATACAAAGTCCTTTCGCATCTGCTTTCCTAGAACGACTTGGTAAACACTTTGTCGTCATCAGAAATACTGAGCTGAACGTGCTTTATGAAGCCGTGATGGAAGTCATTGCAGAAGTGGGTCGCTTGTTCAATGTATTGGCTGATTTGGGCGATGTGAGAGACCCAGCCTCGCGCATGGTGCAGCTACTTCGTCTCATGGAATTCTTGCGCTTGAGTGGTCAGGACGAGGCATACGTATGCCGTATACATGAGCTTGCCGAGCTCCACGTCCAGGCCAAGAATTACTCCAGCGCGGCATGCACGTTGAATCTTCACGTCGAGGTACTGAATGAGAGTCAGCCTTCTAAGGTTCTCGCTCCAGCGAAGATACCTGGACTCGAAACCCCTGCGGAGTTGGTGCAATCACGCAAAGACCGCCTATATCGGACTATGGCTACGTACTTCGAGAAAGGCTACTGTTGGGAAAACGTCCTCAAGACTCTCAAACAGCTTGCTGGAGGACGTGAGGCTACTTGGGACGCTGCTGGTATCGCGCAAGTTCGCTTCGACGAGGCACGCATTTACAACACCTTGGCTGCCGGACCAGTGCCGCTTCCTCGTTTCTTCCATGTTGCTTTCAGCGACCACGAACTCTTCCCAGAGTCTGTACGCAGTCAGCACTTCATCTTTGAAGGCCCTGCAAATTGCGACAGGAAAAGTTTCTCGGCATTGCTTCAAGTGCAATACCCGTACGTCTTAAACCTAGGACCAGATTACACGCATCCTACAGCATCTTCGCAAGACCCTGCCGTCAAGATCAGTCCTGTCACTGTGTACAAGAATCAAATGCATCCCATCAACCAGCAAGGCAGCGTTGCACCAGGTTTCAGAGAACACTGTTTGACCACGCAACCCATAGCATTTGCAATGACCAGCCGTCACGACAACCCGTCTGTCAGTGTGGTTGACCAAGTCGTTGAGAAGACGGTGTTCTACACCCAAACTGCGTTCCCAACAGTACTGTCTTACAGCTCCATCACCCGAGACGAGCGGGTAGTCTTGACACCGGTACAAGCAGCCATCGATCGCACCCAGCGGAAAACGCTGAACATAGCAGTTGCAACTCATTCCACTGCCAGCAAAGGAGAATCCCATGTAGAAATACTGATTGACACTATTCAATCAAGTGTGGACACAAGCACCAGTGGTAGTGTAGCCGAGTATCACAAGTTGCTCGAATCGTTTCAGTCCCGTCCTGGAACAGGCAGTACCGCTAACAATACCATGGCAGAGGTCCAAAGTGTTTACCACGATGCGTTTGGAGAGCCAAAAACTAAAGAATCACAGCTCCGAGACATCCTCATCATCTCTCTCGAGGACCATGCGCGCAGCATCGAACTCGCTATATCTTCGCCCTACATCCCTACACACATCAAGGAGATGCTACGAGCGAGTTTCGAAGACAGCTTCTTGATGGAATTGTATGCGATATACCCTTCGAGAGATTGGAGATTGAGATCTACAGCGTGGCAGAACACAGAAGTGCCGCAGCCTGCGTCGATGCGGGAAAGAGCACCAAGCGATGTCTTGACTATCGACACTCAACAAACCGAGCAGGCGGCACACAAACCCAGAGGTCGACGTGCCTCTATCAAGAAGAGGTTGAGCTTCTTGAGCTTGGGTAGTAAGGATAAGAGCGGTGATGGTGGGACGAGGAGTCATAGTAGGGCGAGCAGTCGGACGAGGTTTTAATGTCGGAAGTTGGGATATCATTGGTCGATGGACATTCTTTCTCTCTATTTTCTTTTCGTCGATCTTTTCACCTATTGTCTAGATACCCTTTTGCTACCTTGTATATTGTCATTGTAACACAGTACTTGTTTGCAATCCACATCTTGTAGGACAGCTGCACGAAGCTTTTGTGCATCCACATGTGACGCAACTCTGGCAAACCAAAAGCCGACTTCGACAACCATCCACTTCTCACAATTATCCAACTATCGAGACACTTTACATGCGCAGCTTCAGACCTTTCCTGTCACCAAATTTACTTGCCAACAGAAACAGACCAATATCTCTCAGAATGTCAACCCCTCAGACAGTAAAAACGCGTATCCTGATCATCAGCGACACACACTCCACACCCCTCGCACCTGCCTCGTCTTCCCAGCCTTTCCGCGAACCTCTTCCCTCGGCAGATGTCTTGATCCATTGTGGTGACCTCACCATGGAAGGTCTAACTTCCGAGTATCACAAGACTCTGGATATGTTTGCTGCCATTGATGCACCGGTGAAGCTCATCATTGCGGGGAACCATGACAGGACGTTGGACAAGACATGGATGAAGGATCATGAAAGATTCTTGCGTGGGAAGAAGTGGGAGCAAACATATGAGGAGGCTCGGGAGATGTGGTTTGGCAAGGAAGGGAGGGCGAGGAAAGAGGGAGTGATGATGTTGGAGGAGGGGATCCATGAGGTCGAGGTGGGGAACGGAGCAGTGTTGAAGGTAAGTGATGTTCTTCGTTCTTTCCATCATCATTCTCCAAACTCCTGCGTCCATGCGAGAGATGTCTAGGCACACTTGGAAGAAAGTGCTACTCGAAGGGGACTCATCGATCTTGCTATTTCGACAACCAGAAACTATTGTTATCTAATTCCGACACGACTGATGATTACCATCAGCTCTACACATCACCCTACCAGCCCGAGTNTCTACGACTGGGCATTCCCATACGAAAGATACGAAGACCGCTACAATCCTGCATCTCAGACTCTTTCCGACGCCAAAAACATTGCCGTCAACTCAATACCCTCCTTCTCCGATCAAGAGTTGGATATCATCTGTACACATGGTCCACCTTACAAACGCGGAGACATCACCGCACATGGCAATGTAGGATGTCCGCATCTGCTCAAAGCGGTGGCTAGAGCAAAGCCAATAGTGCACTGTTTCGGGCACATCCATGAGGGATGGGGCGCAGAGACTGTGACATGGAATGATGCCCCAGAAGCCGAAGAGAAGCAAACGATGGATCAGTTCAAGGCACAAGGCTACAAAGAGCACATCAAAGAGGTGGAGAGAGTTGAAGTTGCAGAGAAAGAAGTAAAGAAGCAAAGAGCCGTGTTTGTGAATGGTCGAACGATCAGGAGGGGCGAGCAGACGCTTCTGGTAAATGCAGCGATTATGGATGTTGGGTACAGTCCTGTCAACGCGCCATTTGTGGTGGACTTGGACTTGCCGAGGAAGAGATGATGATGGGTAGAGTCAGAGATGGAAAAGGGTGATCGCTTAGACATGAGTTTCATGCATTGCTGGCACAGATATGAGAAGGCGCGTGGATGAATAGAGTCAGTCAAAGCAAGGTGAACACTGCACAGATATGATGGGAAGAGAAGATCCGATACCAAAAGCACATTCATCTCATGATATCTCATATATGAGGGGGTATTCGAAAGGCTTTGAAATTTTTTTGAGAAACAAGAGAGAATTTTGGCATAAGCTAAGCAACAGTACTTTTTGCTGTCTTTCTGCAAACGCCAATGTCATGAACAACGACGCCCAACCATGATGTGTGAGATAAGCCATGTTGAGTATCCCCCATAATCCTTCGTTACCGGCGGGTCATGGCCTACTTGCGGATGGCGCGCTGGTAGAAGGCGAGCTCCTCACCCTCGAGGATGTAGCCGTCAACGCGACCGCTCTGGCCGGGGCGCGAGGCGACAACGGCGAAGAGACGACCAGCCTCGAACTGCTTCTCGATGGGAGACTCGACCTTGCCGGAGGCCTTGGTGCGGGCCTCCTGCTTCTTCTCGACCGACTTGGACTTCTTGGTCTCCTCGGTCTCACCCTTGGCCTGGCGACGACGGCCGAGAGCGGCGCCGTAGTGGGCCTCGTACCACTGACGGAAAGGAGCGGCATCGATCTGGACAACGGCGGACTTGGTCAAGGTGTTGGTACGGACGAGCTCGTTGTTGGAAGGGTGGTAGGCGACGGCAATGACACGGGTCTTGCGGGAGATACCCTCGGAGCCCCAGGAGAAGTTGCCCGAGTCGAGACGGAGGGCACGGAACTTGCGGTTGCCACCACGGGTGCGCACGAGATGGATACGCTTGGTACCGATACGGGTGTTGGCGGCCTGACGGCCCTTCTCGAAGGCNTGTAGAGACGAAAAGTCAGAAAGACAGTTCGCCAAGCAATCGGGTTACGGTGTTGGACACCAGTTTGTTTACGTACCGCGCTTCTTGTTGGCGGGAATNGCTGGACGGAATGTCAGCGAGTGCTTGCCAAAGTGGAGAGGGACAGCAGATAATTACCGCTTAGCGCCAGAGGCGGAGCGCTTCCAGTTACCACTGCGAGAGATACCCATGTTGTCGGATTATGAAGGCTGCTATGCGAAAGCGTCGGTCAGTGTGCTGTCCTCGTGTACAGGAGTGTGTGTGACGGCTGAGAAGGCGCGAGGAGGATGGGTACGGCGACTCTGGCTCGTTGCAAATTTGAACGGATCGAGGAGACTCGCGGCGATGGCAGAGCAGTGAAAGGAAGTGTGTGACGAGGCGGTCGAGTGTCGAAGGTTGTGTGTGTGTGTGCGTGTGCTTGTGCTTGTTCGATTTTTCTCCTTCACTGTCGTCTGCGCCGGGGCCGCTCGATGTCCAGATTTGCAAAATGTCGGAGGCCGCATCGAACCAGTCGCGTCTTCTCTCGCCGTCAATGAAGCGACTCACATTGACTGGCTTCACAAAGAGGGGGTTGTCGAGGGTTGTCGTTGTCGTCGTCCGATCGCGAAAGCGCCGGACAACTCGCACGCAGATTTCGTGCAAAATCGCTTGTCGCTTAATCTCCGGCTTTTTCCTCGACCGAATGTGGGGAATCCCATGTGCCTCTGTGCCTCCAAGCTTGACCATCTAGTACATTAGCTCTCAGTGGATATCGCCTTGCCTCTCCATAGCTTTGTGTATTCTTATAGCTATACGCGTACCTATGATCTGAGTTGAGATCATCACGACGCTTCCTTGTCATGTGTGACCTCGTCCGCTCTGCATGTCAAGCTCTGTCGGGGTTTCATCCCCCATGGCAACAGAACATCATTGTAAGTCATAGAGATGCAGCAATATATGGACATCTGAAATGTGTCCATGGAGAGCCATGATCACTCTTATCCGGCAACTGCTAGTAGGAGTAGACCTTCCTGAACCAGAAACGCTCCAATCAGAACATGGTCAAAAGATGGAAGGTGCCTCTCGTCGGCTACTGCCCTTTCCTGCCACCAGATCCAACAACACGAAGCTCCTTTCGCATCCAAATCTTATCTTCTGCTTACTTGCAAGTTCGCAACGATCATCAATCGCATCATAGGAACAGCAACTTATCATTGATTTCAACAACCTCTCATACTCCCATCCATTGCCGGTCATACTGCGCACAACAAAATGGCCGACTTAAGCCACGCGCCGCACTCCCTTGATGCTAACAATCTTCCGAACGTCATCAAAATACGCGCAGGTTCTTGAAACCCTCTAATCCGACTGTTGGGCGAGTGGCAGTATAGAGGCGTTTCGGTCCTGAAGCTGGATGTGGGTCACCAGATACGTCGATTTGATCGCAAAACATCAGTGTTTTGATTATTGGTCATGTCAGACCATCGGACAGGGGACTATCCTCTGAGAACGAAGACCCAGTACTGGTCACGATCATGAGAGCTCGAGTCGATGGAGAACCGGTTCACACAAAGACCAGTTATGGTCAGGACTTGTGGGCCGAACGCAGAACACATCCGTTGCCCCATCCAGACAATGTGGACTTCTGCAAAGGTCTCATCCCCAAGCCGGATTACGATCATCAGCACTCGACACTTCGGGCGATGATGACCCTAATAACAGGACACATGACCAACGACGTGGACTTCGAGGACGAAGCATGGCAAGAATCAATGGTATGAATTTGATTGGCAATCATGTCTGCAGTCCACAGTGGTCCAACATGACTAAGATGAAGGCCATCGACAAGCACTCTGCTCACCTAGAGATTATCAACGACACTCAGTCTCTTCCATCTGCTACTCCGCCTCGTGGGCCTGCTGAGCCTGATGCCCCACCTCCCGAGTATGCCACTCGACCCCCTCGGGTACCTCAAGGCGCTCCTCGAGATCCTCATCTAGACAATAGCCGCCCTGCTACTCAGCAGACAGGAGCCATCGCATCCCATCAGGCTGATGGTTCTCAGCAGACGATGATCGATCCGGAAACTTTGCAGGAGTCTCAATTACTTCATCCTCCCCTGGACGGCTCAACAGCGCTCGGGTAAGTGCGTCAGTCGCATGGAAATAATAACGATCGCTTACTGTCGACTAGGACCATTGATGAGCTCCTCCTCACTGATCCTGACTGTACACATGGGCGAGAGACGCTTCAGCGTCGCTTCTCACAGTCTTAAGGCCATTAGGTGCATCATTGATTCATTTATTGCAGAGGCCGACGCTACTAGCCCAAAACCACAGTCACATTCGTAGAGACCATTATTCTTTCATTCTCAAGTTGTAAACCTGCTGCTCTCGTATCCCAATATAAAAATTGCTGAGTCCACATCACTGTTCATGGTCTCCAGCATGATCTTTGTCGCTGAGTTCCCACAGTCTTACTTGTTACTCCATACCAGAATGGCTCTCTCTGGACGCACTTGTAGACTCGAAGCATCTGTGCACTGTGATTACTTGAGTTGATGCCATAGATGACTATGAGAGGTGATCGTATGCTGCACGATGAGGTATCATGGGTTCAAGATTGATGTCTCACAGCGATAGACTACATATTTACAGGCTGTGGGACTAGACAATATGTTTTAGAACAAGATCATGTCCAAGGAGAGCTATCATCTCAAGGCTATCTCCATGGTCACACATCTGATTTGGCAAGCGATTGTGCATTGTGATAGCATACTATAGTACTACCCGTTGATGTAAGAGAGAGATAACTTATGGCACTTTGAAAGGCATGAGAAGAGGCTCTTTATTTGAACCAAAAAGTCGTTGCGATAAGAGTATTATGAGAGGCAAGAGATTGCGAGAAAAAGAACTCAGGCGTTTTCATTCTTGACAGGCATAGCAACTTCGAGCTGGATATTACAGCATATTGATCAGACCCAATATAACGCCAGCCAGACCAGCTGAAGCAGGAAGGACAACTGCCGCAGCTCCAGCAGAAGAACTCGACGAAGCCGATGAAGAAGCCATCAAACGAGTAGCTGTAGAATCACCAGTCGAAGCAGACGAACCTCTAGTACTCAACGAACTTGAAGTTCTTTCTTGGGTTGAAGAAATTGCAGAACTTGATGCAGAGTCCGAGGAAGTAGCGTTGCCATTAACGATGCCACCAATCAATCCGGTTGTCGGAAAATCGCTGGTAGACTTCGATATTGAGCTAGAAATCGAACTCGGCACTGGCACCGTCATGGCAACAGATACTGAGTATCCCAGCTGACTGCTGATGGCGATTGCTTGGCTCGACAAGCCCGCATATGCTTCGGACGAGTATGCGGAATATTGACTCTCCATTTGTGATTTGTAGATTCCAGTTGCGGTTGCTGCGGCTGAGGAGATGAAGTCCAAAGCTGCGGAGACCAGGGAGGATTCGGCCGCGAGGTTGACAGAGGCTTGAGAGGCGAAGAGTGAGTTTATTGAGGTTGGGATGGTGTTGTTCTGACCGAGGGCGAGGGTAACCAGACCGATCAGAGTTGATATCATGAGATGCATCTTTGGTCGTTGAGAAAATCTTAAAGTGCCAATACTGTAATCGATATGATAAGGAGAAGAAAAAGAGCACTAAAGGGTAGAGCAGAAGCAACACTTTATTCCATGGCAGTATCGTGTGCGACCAGAGCACTGCATGTTACCATGACCCCTCAATTGGCCTCGCGGCCCTACGTACGCTCGACGACGTGGACATGAGAAACTTCCGAGCGTTGTTGTCGTTGTTGTACAAAGCCATGAGGCTCACGACATCTCTTGTATGCCAACAATGAAGTGTTTGGGTATGTGAATGGCTTGGCGACAGAACTTACCGTCAGTATCACCCTCTTCTCTACCGCCTACAGCTTGAAGAAGCTTCTCGCGTCGCTCGAGCTTGTGATAGCGAAGTCTCAAGTTTCGCGACATGCTGGTTCTGCGGCTATCGAGACTCAGGATGCTTGCAAGAGCGTAGAATCATTCAGGAGAAGGAGTGTCTTCTGCAATATGTTGCTAGATTTCGCTGTCACTTCGAGAACAACACAAGTCGAGCCACAGTCGAGCCATATGCTGCGAGGGATCGGTATCGATGACCTCTGCACCCTTCGTTTACGTTTATGCAGTTCATCCTGGTAAGATGGCGGGAGTCATCGAGTCACGCGACCAAGCCAAGTGACTTGGCAGCTGGAAATTGGTCCGCAATTTGCAAAAGACAAGCAAAAAAAAGAAGCAGACGTTGGAGTCAAACAAGCGCTGCAAGAGCGATTCACGCAAAGTGGCTTTTGCTTGTTCATTTCTATTGACGTTGTGCGTTTGTCAATCGACTGCTTGGAGTTCAACCCTGATGAGTTGAAAGTCGATGTTTTCCGAGGATCGAATCGCTGATGCGACACGAACCGTAAACGCATGAAGGTTGGTGTGGCCGGTCGAGGCGGGGCGAGATTCCAGATGTTTGAGTGACACAAAAGATGCGTGGTCGACGGTCGAGACACACAAGAAAGACAAAAGTGGCCAAATTCTGAAACGAATAAACTCCCGTGCTTTGCGACTCAGCGACACGATGACCGTTTTTAGGAAGTGCTCGCAAAAGGAGAAGCAAAGAGGTGTGCAATGTCGATCGGCCGAAGAGGCTGCCAAGCAAGGCTGCTCTGAAGTTCGAATGGCTGTCATGCATATATCGCTGTAATGCCTGGTGAACAAGAGCGGGGGCGTAAGTGCATGCGGAAAGGAAGTCCACTTTAGCTGGATGCATGACCGACTTTGCTGTTGAAGGAATATTGAATCCTATCGCCCGCCCATCAGTAAATTGTTTCTAACGAGACGAACGAAAATATCGGAACGACTTTCGGTGGTCGCTGGTCTGAACGTTCGGGGCAAGCTGCACCGGACCAGCCGTTCGCTGTCGATCAGGCCGCAGATCTTGGTCAACACAAGTCAATCGCAACAAGATGAACCTTTTCACGCGCAAGATTCTGTCATGTGGACATGAAGAAGTACATGCGGCATTTTGCAGACAGCTGGTGAGAAAATCGTCCACAAAGCGCGCTATTCTTTCTCAAGCGACATAATCTGCATTTTGAATGTCACTCGAAGATTTTGGAACAAGATGAAACAGAAGTAGAAGATTGAAGTGGAAAATGCATTAGTGATATACTAATTGACAATGGACATTACGAAGAATGTACAGTAAGGTAGTGGGTATGTACTGCGTTCTTGCTCCTGTGCGATTTATGACCAGCGATGTGAGAGAGATAAAGTGCTTAGAAAACACTGCCCTTTCTCTCGACATCCTCGACGACCTCGAGGTCGAGCTTGCCACCGTTGGCGTGTCCGACGGAGGAGGCGAAGGTCTCGTGAGGGACCCACTTGGCGGAGGTGCGAGGGGTGGTCTCCTCCATCATGCGGTCGACTTGCTCGAGGGAGAGTCCCTTGGTTTCGGGTACTAGGAAGTAGCTGTAGACGAACTATTTACGATAGTTAGCACAATGTGATGGGATAAGTGTGCGAGATGGTGGAAAGATGGGGTGGATGGTTTGGGAGGTGGTATGACTTACGGCACATGTGCAAAGACCAGCCCAGATGAAGAAGACAGACGATCTGAGGTTGCCTTCGTCGGGGTTGACCATGTAAGGAGTGATGACAGCGATGATGGTGTTCCAGAGCCAGTTGGAGGCGGTAGAGAGGGCGACACCACGAGATCTGATGGGGAGGGGGAAGACTTCACCGATCAAGACCCAAGCACCTGGACCCCAGGTAGAAGCGAAGAAGAAGATGAAGATGGCGATGAAGGCAATCTGGGCGTTGACAGCAGAGATGTTGTTGGCACGAGTGAGAGGGTCACCACCGGCGGGGTTGGGGATGGTGTGGGTGTGGTTGAAACCGACAGTGACACCGACGACAGCGACGATAAGCTGGCAGATCAGCATACCGAAGGCACCCCAGATGAGCAGAGGACGACGACCGAACTTCTCAACAGTGTAGAAAGAGATGGGAGTAGAGCAGACGTTGACCAGGGTGAAGATCAGGGAGATCAAGAAGGCGTTGCCAATGGCACCGGTGGACTTGAGGAAAGGAGTAGAGTAGTAGAAGATGAAGTTGACACCAGTCCACTGCTGCATCATCTGAAGAGAGGTACCGAGGATAGTCTTGCGCACGTTGCTGCTCTGCTTCCAGAGCGAACCCTTGAAGCAGTTGGCCCAGCCAGAAACCCAGCCAGAGGTGGGAATCATGGTGCGCTCGTACTCCTCGTTGGCAACAATCTCAGAGAGCTCGGCCTCGATGTAGTCAGAGTCACCGGGCTGGCCACGGAGTCTGGCCAAAGCGTGGCGGGCAGCCTCGACGTTACCACGCTTGACGAAGTAGCGAGGGGAGTCGGGAAGGAAGAAGAGACCACCAGCAAGGATGACACCAAAGATGAACTGGATACCGATGGGGATACGGTAAGAGGCAGTGCTGTTGATGGTCTGGGTTCCGTAGTTGATGCATGAGGCCAACAGGAGACCGATGGTGATGCAGAACTGGTAACCGGCGACGAGAGCACCTCTGACCTTGCGAGGGCAGATCTCAGACATGTAAAGAATGACGATGGCGGATTCGAAACCGACACCGAGACCAGCGACCAGACGACCAGCAACGATGAGACCAAGACCGTGGGAAGCAACCTGAAGAACGACACCAATGATGTAGATGAGACAACCGATGATGACAGTCCAGCGACGACCGATGGTGTCAGCGACATCACCAGCGATGATGGCACCGAAGAAGGTACCGGCAGAGAGGATGGAAGTGATAAGAGAGTTGTGGGGACCGGAGAGAGTAGTTTGGCCAGCGCCCTCAATGAGCTCGATGAAGACGGGAGAACCGGTGACACCGTTGATGTAACCTNNACAGCATTGGTTAGCAAGTGAAAGAGTACTGCATCTGAAGACAGGATGCTTACCAGAATCATAACCGAAGAAGATACCTCCGAAGGAAGCAAAGGCGCAGATCAGGTAGGCCTTCCAGGTGACTGGAGCCTCAATCTGATTGACATCAGCGGTGGTAGCAAGCATAGCACCAGGCATGTTGGCGGTGGCTTGAGAGAATGGATTGTTGATGGGATACGAACATCCACAGAGGTGCGCGAACTCGTGGTTTTGTATTCCCTCGCTCGTTCTCGACTCGATCCCCGCGTGGCCCCATCTTACATCGAGAACATCCCGATCTAACCCAAAACAAACACCAGAGACGCCTTCTTCGGCGAGCTACGACGAGAAAATGGCCGTTCAGCGCTCGGGTCCAGTCACATGGCCCGATCGTTAAGCCATCTAGAACTTTTGATTGGCAACAAAACAAGTGCTTCTGCCGAGAACCTCACCAACGGGACGCCGGGCAAGCTTTACAAATTTGATGTGGGTTCAGACTAACGGTCCACCCAACGTCGAGCAAGGACCGGCCGAGCAAGCCCAGCCTCGGCCATCCAATAATTTTACGGTTTCGAAGACAAGCTCGCAGCCTATGATGCTTCGCGGTCTTGTGCTTCTCGGCCATGAGGAACAGAGAAAATGAAATCACGGGCCGTTGCCTGATCGGAATAGCAGAGTGTGAACATGTTTATGTGATAAAGTCTGGAGATGTCTGACAGAAAATCCAAAAAGAGATTGAGCTTGTGCTCCGCAACCATCCCACCTTTCCCGCGGTGCCTAACCCTGGAACGTTTTGGGTACGGGGTCGCTCGTACATGTTAGCCGACCATGATTGGCTCCTCCATGAGATGTCTTCAGCTACCAAATGCGGAGTTCATGATGCAAGCGGAGAACATGTACCGACTTGTACATCACAACTGTACTGTGTGGTGACTCTAGCGTGTGACGGTTTACCCTGACGGTTTTCATCATTAAGAGATCATGAGTTGATCTTCCTCGCGTGTTGTGGGGATGATTTTCATTCTCGTGTGTGGAGGGATTTTAGAGAGGGAGGTGGGGACTCGGGGAAGGACTCGGTAAGCGCTTGACGCCCGGCCCTTTGCAACACGGCGTGTGTTCCACGGGGCCGAAGGCCAGACATCCTTGCATAGTCAGACCATGCGGCGAAGGCCGAAGTGGACCATCACCTCAGATTCGTGTCAGAAAGAAGCGCCATACCGAAAATTGTTGAACACCCCGAACGATCCCCAGTGGAGATGGGTCTCAAAGCTGGGGCGGAAGTTCTCTCACGCCCTAACTTCGCACTCGTTTCTGGAATTGCATCGAGCTTGTGCCAAATTGTCAAAACAGACTTTGTTGTAGTGACACAACCACCACATACAAATCTCTGCACGGTATGGCAGATGAAGAGGAAATTCCAGGCTAGGCTTACCTGTTCAAGACCTGAAAATGCTCAGGGCTGACCGTTGTCTCTGGCGCATGCCACTGCCAATACGGAAAGGACGGGCAGCATCATGCAAGCAACGCTGGCGAGCGTGNGAGGCGTTGTGGACATGCTTGCGTTTGCTTGATCCGAGGCTTACAGGCAGGCCACACGCGAGTGCCGAAATTGTGATGTCTTGGAATGGCTTAGGNTGGCTGAAAAGCACGACTCGAAGATGGAGTGTTTGATCCTCCAGAGTATCATATCAAAGGTAAACATTAAGCGGTGTGCTTCGGTAGGCGATCGATTTTGGGGATGGTAAATTCAACGTCCTCTTCACCATGGGGACTGTGGATAAATTCAGCTGCGTGGGGCTCTCCACGGGGTGAGTACTGACTGAGCACGGAGCTCTGTAGAAAATTCTTTCGCGCTTCGTGCTGGCTCAACCAGGATTCATGCTCACAAAGGTCGCGCTTCTCAGACAAGCGCGCGCCTTAGCATGTGAAAGTTCCAGGAGGTCATCATCATTCATCACGATCATGCTCTCACGAATACGATCTCTGTAGTGTTTTGCTCTACTGCAAATATCGTGGCGGCTTGTGAGTAGGCACGCGATTCGATAGTGCTGTTCTGACCTGCCTACTAAAGTAGCTGAGGGGCGCATCTGGCGGAGAAGGATGCAGTTGCTTTCGATCCTACAACAGCATGCTATAAGGTGGGGGTGTATTAGGACCAATGGTTTGCGTGAATTTCATACAAATTTCTCGACTGGGTGTCGTTAGCGAGGTCCTGCATCTGCAGTCCTCGATGATCAAAATGCGTTGTGGGAGCCCCTTTCGCCAATAAAGTTCACTGTTCGTTCTATTGCGACTGGTAGACCAGAGCGCAATTTTTCATCGAAGAATAGACCTTGACAACCTCGGCGCTAGGCGCCTAACTTTGCTGTTGCGAACGGTAAGATCATGATCGTATCGGATAGGCGCTTTGTCCTGGCGACATAAATGAGACAATCAATTGGACAACATTGCGGTATGGGTCGGATATTGGTGGATGTTGGTGTGGATCTTCGGCAGGCCACCACGTTTTTCGGCTCTTCGGGACGGCTTCGCGACGGCCAAAGTGGAGGACTCGGGAGCAAACAAGGCAGTCAGTCTTGTTTTGAGAGCCAACTCTTTATGAGAAGGTGTAGAAACATACGGAGGTATAGATCTCTACAGCGGTACATGGGTTCAAGATTTCTGCTGTTTCTCTGTTCCGATCAGAGACCGGCTGGTGGGACCAAAAGACACACAGGCTGCCGAGACAGGGTCATCCTCTCAACAGCAGTATCTCAGTCTCCAGCCTACTTCCACGTCAACCAGCATTATCTAGCACAGTATCAAATATCGGTCTGCCTGTCTATGGCTGTGTTTACTATGATACAGATGATGTTCCATCAATTGGTGCTGGCTGTGGTTAGTTATGGTGCGTTTTGTGTTTCTGGAGTCTGATATTCGCGAATGTCCACTCAGATGTACGCATTACATAGCACCCGTGCAATCAACAAGGATTTTAAAAAGCTTCAAGAAAGAATATCCTGATTTAGATACAATAAAGGACAAAACAACAACGTGCTGAAAAGTGGACAGACCATTCCATGCATAGTCACCAATGTACTTGATCTGTTCCCTGAAGCTGCAAAGATCAGAAGCTCATGACCACCGAAAAACCTCTTTTGCATGGAGTCGAGTGTAGAGAATCTAACAAGAGTGACAAGGATCGCTTCGGAGATCGGTAAGACATCAAGCCACGCTCCTAGCTTAGATCTTGCCGTAACCAACGTTGGCAGTGGAGACAGAGCTGGCAGCAGCTGCGGAAGCAATGTTCTTGCCCTTGAAATTACCAAGGAAGCTGGTATCGGCAGAGGAGAAGGCACCGGAGCTGCCGAAGGCGTTGCTCTGGCAGCTGCGGCCGATGAAGGAGCTGCAGACGCTACCACTGCCAGGGACAGTGAAGTACTTACCAGTAGCTCCGGCTTCGATCACCGTGTTAACATTCTGGAATTTGTTCCTACAAGGAGGTCAGCATAAATCCGTGGAAAGACGCTGGATAAACGTACCCNNTTCAGCGAGGACGTATCCGCCCTGACCCAGCTCGAAAGCATGGCCCTTGGAGTCGATATCGTANCCTAAAGATGTTAGTGAGGAGCTTTAAACATGATCGTGAATCATTTACCAGTAGTTGTTGACGGCGTGGAGGATGGTGTTGCCCTGAACCTTGGGTGAACGACCAGAGGTGTGGTGAATGTAGTTGCCCTTGAAAGTGATCATGTCGTTGGAACCAGTGAAGTACAGAGCCCAGTAGTGACGGCCATCACAGGTGGCGGACCAGGTAGACGAACCGTCGATGTCACAGTTGGAGATGGTGACTCTGCCGGAAGCAGACTCGCCCAGAACGATGTGCTGGCGAGCAATGCGTTGGGTCNNTAGAAGCAAAATCAGCTATGTGTTCGGGAGCTAGTAGTTGATTCGACAGAAGTATCAAAGACTTACAGTAACATGGTCGATCCAGATCATGTCGGTGCCTGATGAGGTTTAGCGACTGTACAAGCTACCAGTATATTCCCGCTTTGACTCACCAGCAAGAGTGATGGCATCTCCACCCCAGACGTAGTGAGGGTTGAGGTCAGTGATAGCGATGTTNCTTGGTTCAAGGTCAGACATGCAGAAACAGACTCGTACTGCTCTTCATACCTGGATGATGATGTTCTTGACACCGTTGGCCATGCGGAGACCCTTGCCCTTGATGACACCCTTGTTGCCCTGACCAACCAAACTCTTGTTGGAGTTGACAGTGATACCGATCATGCCGGCCTTGTCGTAAGTCAGGGAAGAGACCNNTATGTTTCTTTTAGACCGTGTATCACCGGAGATGTCACCATTGTTGCAACAAACCTTGGGAGCCGAAGATTCGTAGTTCTCACACCAGCCATCCTTGTCGATGGCCTGCTGGCAGAGACTGCCGGTACCCCAAGGAGAGCAACCCTTGGCAGAGGTGGTGCCCTCAGTACCCCGGAAGTCGAAAGTCTTGTTGAGAATGATAACACGGGGTTTGCTGTCACCAAGGTACGAGACCAGCTCGGCAGTGGTGGTAGGATAGACAGCAGCGGCCGAACCACCTCCAGTCACGCCCTTGGCGAAACCTTCGGCGGCACCGGTGACACCAGCAGCGCTGACGGTGCTGGCAAATGCTGCAAGAGCAGATATAAGGAGAGCGAAAGATCTCATGATCAAAAGAGCGACAGAGGTAAGACGAAAAGAACAGAAGAAATTGTACAAATGAAGAAGTGATGAGACAGTTCAGCTTCGAGGTGCATCGTACATGTTATATACCTACGACGTCTACGGTGGAGTTGCACACATGATGCCAATATCGGCTACGAAGCCCTGTATGCTATGCTGTGAGCAAGGCCCGGGAGGCCAGGGTTGTCAAAATAGGACGCCGACGTCTCAGGTTGCGCATGAGAACTTATCCTGAGGCGAAGCGACAGCTTGGCATCGTTCTCGCTCGGCGCCATTATAACCCTAGGTTAATTGTCTCCTGCATCAAGCTTGATAAGTATCTGTAGATGTTTTCTCAGTGGATAGCGATTGGACGGCGCCGAGTGTCGCAGAATAGATCACCTATTTTCCCAATCACTAAAGCCTGCCCGAGTCGTTGTCGCATCTCTAAGGATTGATCATATGAGCCGCCGGAAGAGAGTCCGATATGCAGCCCTAAAACGATCTAACCCATTTGAGAACAATAGACGATGTGCTGGGTTTTGGCGGAGACCACTTCCTTTTCTTAGGCCGGCCAAGAGCTCATCATCGTTCCCGCTTCGCAGCATCAAGTACAGATGGTCCAACTGTCCTTCTCGATATATGCTGGTAGCTCGCCCTCTCCACTGCTTCTTCAGCTCGCCAACGATGATCGCCCTGCTTAGGTCAACTGGCTGGCTCATCCGACACATATCGTCACACTTCTAGAATCGCAATCGTCATGATCCTTGATGAAATCCATGAAACTATGGCGTTGATCACAGCTGATTACAGCTTCTCGCAGCCCTAAGGGCTGACAAAAACTCATATGTATCGAATTAAGAGGAGATCTTGCAGAAGCTATCACGAAGATTAACGAGTGGCCTGTCTTGGCCGATGCGCTTGTTGGTTCAACACTCAACCACACCTGAAGGCAGTTTCATACCGAACGTCAGCGACAGTTCCGATCTCCCCATGTAAAAGGGTTGTATGTATAGATATCCTTTCTACTACATGGATAGTTGGCTTTACAGTGAAATTTGGACCTCAACGGAACAAGATGAGAACTACGGATTGATCACTCTATAGAACTTGTAAAGAACTGATACCACATATTGCCTGCTACACGCTACACTCACCGCTGTAGCTGTAATGAAGTGAACAATTTTCGGCTCGACAATAACCCGTGTCCCATATAGTTACTCATATATACTTAGGCAATGCGCCATCCTTCCTGAATTCTAGGGCTTTGCACATGGAGCAGTGATCTGCAATATTCACACCCGGGACCTTGGGTAGATCCAGTAACTCTGCCAGAGCATGTTGTTCTTGTTCCATAATTTGTTTCCACGACAGTTGCTGGGTAATGTATATCGGCCCAAGTAACTTGCGACACAGTCGAGGGGTACAAGAAGCGGACCCTAGTAAAACAGACGTGTGATTGTCAACCTAGACGTATCCAAGCCTTCTGGCCAACAACACAGACCCAATTAGGAGTAGCCAAGGAGCCATGCGGATCACTCCATCCTTCAACGCCTTCATCAACCAAATGTTAATCAGGAGTACATGAACAGCGACAAACATCTTGCCGTCATTTACATTCGGAAATTCGCCTCCAGGCTGCGGGAGTTCAATAAATTCACAGAGCTCTTTCCAACCGTCTCGGCCCAACTTGAACTCGAGAAGTCTCCCTTTGGGTACGACCGCTCGGACGCCTGTGTTGTGCCGATTCAGAGCAGATATGCTCCATCCGTCCATCACTATGTTCATCGTGTCTAGCATCTTGACCCAAGCTGCACAGTCAGAACTGATCAGAGCCAGGTGTGACCAGATTCTCCATTTGCTGATGACTCCGACCGAGTTCTCAATGGATCTGCGCCACTTCTCGGGATCTCTAGTTGTGAGCACAACCTTTGCTTCTGGGTATGCTTCGAGGAGTTCCTTCACCAGTAGATTCATGGGCACATCACAGACCGCNCTGTACATGTCAGTTCCTTTCTTGGGAGAACAAGATTCACTGACGTCGAAGTCACCAATCCATTTGTCGAACTCTTCCCTTCCGAATGCCTTCTCAGTGTTACGAGCTTCCAGTGCCTCGCATGCTATCGGCAGATCTCGAGATGCCATCTTCACTGCCTCCGCTNNATATTCAATTAGCGGTGCTACATTACGAGCAGCATTTGTTATACCCATGTGGTAGGGTGTCAAGTTCAGTCTCTGTAGAGCAGTGTACATAGCNTTATCGAGCTTGTCAGTCGATTCCTTGACCTTGTCGCAAAGTTGGTTCTTACAGAAGGTGCCAGTCCTGGACATACTAGCGAGTATGACCTTCATAGGCTTGGTACGAACGCCCCCTTCTTTATCGATTGCTCGCGGTCCTGTAGGAGTAGATGCCAGCCTACGTTCCTGTGGTTTGTGAACACGGCCTCCAAGCTTGACAAGCAGGTCATCAAATTTGTCCATCTTTGAAAGTGCAGGACTGAGGATCGGCTGGTGTCAGTGTTGCAGTACGAACTTCAATTCGTGAATGGCCAATGGACTATGAATGTGGGATAGAGCGCGGTTTTGTGACTGACATCTCAGCTTACTCCGTCTTACATTCTTCCAAGCGAGACCGCTTCTGATATCGATGCACCTGATTAGGACCATTGATCTGATCTGGAAACTGCTGACATTAATGCAAGCCATTGGTCGTACATGCAGCTCTCCAGGGCGCTGACGACTCTGATTGGATGGTCGAGGATAGAACCGGTCAAGGCATGTGTAGTCTGCAGTCATGCTCTCCAATACCATCAGCACTTCGTCACAGACTCAAGACCTCGATGTCATGTTCGAAGCGGGGACAGAAATAAAGGGCTGTTCGAGAGATATGCGGCACTAGACATTACAATTGCAGCGTCTTTTTTCTTTCTCTTTTCCTTCCCTGTTGGCGGCTTCTGAGCAACCACAGCATCGTACTCCAGTTCTCGATGCTAACACTTCTAACCAAATACAGAATGGAGCGATTAGTTGAGTCTAGGTTGTCTTGCTACCCATCGGCCTGTGAAGGAATAGAAAATCGAAGTCTCCTTGTCGAAAGACCATGCAAGGTATATCTTCTGCCGGCCTTGTCAGATCGTATTTATGAGCCTGTGTTACCAATCCGTGTATGGTGCTTCATCATGACCTGGTATGGAAATACAAAGACCTACCGACGGGTCTTCGTTTTGATTGCTCTCCAGGGTAACGCATTTTGTGCCCAAACAATTGTGCATTTTTACAGCTTCAGGTTTTGCTCTGCTTCGCCAAAGAGACAAGTGAACGATAGGAGCGTGATCTTCGGGGTCATATACGAGAGCCAGTATCATCTATATCTTCGAGTTGGCGGATTGAGTTCAGCGAGCTACCTGTGGTGGTTCGAGACTTCTATGAACATTGTCATGATGGGGACAGTTTTTGAGTGTTCGTGCAACAAAATGCCTCAGGATCACGATATGGATGATATCCGGCGAGGATCCAAACACTCCGCAAGACTGGCAAATGCAACCCTCGCTCCTTCCTTCCACAAACTCATTACAAGCAAAACGTCGTTTGAATTAGCCGCACCTCTCTGGAGTTACGAAAAATATGGCTGTCACATCGGATTTGACAGGACGATAGTCAAGTAGAATTCAGCAGTACGTAGCCTTCAGTGTAATTCAGCTATAGCATTAAACAAGATTTGATGATGTACACATATGAACAATCATGTTCAACACCGAAGATCTTGTAATGAACGTTTTCCAAGCTAAGGATGCGATATGAGATCAGGATCCATAGCATTAGTTCTTCTGTCCGTGAACGTGTTGGATTTGGGCTTCAGCGTCCTTGGGTTCAGGGACAGTTGTCTTGCCCTGCATGGCGCTGCGCTCAAGCATGTTCAACTTGTCTTCTTCGGCATCCAAATGGTGGAAGCAGTACCAGAATCCCACACCACCCATAAAAGCAAGGACGGTGATGATCGTGTAGTTCCAGACAAGGAGAGGGTCCTCGGAGAGAGGTGTGAACGCCTGTCCAACTGCAGAGGCAAATGCACTCATGAAAAGGTTGATAGACATGACCATAGATTTCATGTTGGCAGGTGCTTTGGCGTAGGCATACTCGAGAGAGGTGACGTTTGTGAAAATTTCTGCAATACCGATGAAGATATAAGGCAGGACTTGGGCCCAAACGTTGATGTCGGCCTTACCAAACTCTTCGATGCAGTCAGGGTCGGACGCATGAGTCCCGCAGGGCGATTTCACATAAATGAAGTGCTGCATGACTGCCGCGGCGAGCATAGATCCTGCAGCGAAGAAGAACCCAATTGTCATACGCTTGATAGGAGTGAATGCGAAACCCATCTTGCGGAAACCAGGATAGATGACGTGATCCAGGATTGGGATCATGATGACAATCGAGATCGGGTTGAGGTTTTGGATGATATCGTTTGGTACACCGTTCAGTTGAAGAGTTGCGGCCTGACTGGTCAAATTTCCTGTATTTATAGTTAGTTAAATGGTATGATAAGCGAATATGGTAATCAAATTCCTGTCATCTGATTGTACGCCAACTAACACAGCTGTTAGTATGTTTTCTGTATCGACAATAGCAAGAAGCCTTAGGCGCCGATATCTCAGCCCACCACATTCCGGACCCACTTGCAGAGTCTTTTCTGTTCAATCGCTCGAGACCTTCTGAACATGTTCGAGCGTCTTTTACGATAATATTGTGCTTCTTCAAGTATCTCCGAGATGTGTTGGTTGCGAGAATGGACCTCAAAATCTTACGTCAAAGGAAAAAAGCCACTTACGAAAAATAGAGGCAAGAAGAGGAAGACCTTGCAAGCACGAAGACCACGCTTGACTTCTTCTACCCAGGCATCGTCATATGTCATCCAGATAGGACGCCTTTCGACAGGGACGTTGGACGGTTTTGCGACATTCCAATCAAATTTGCCTTGCTTGTTCTTCCAGGTAAAGCCAAGCATATGGAAGAACTTGGACAAGATAGAGCCAGTAGGTGGGCTCAGAATGTAGTTCTTGCGGTTGAAGAAAAGAATGATCGGAGCAGCCACGAAAAGGACGGTTGGGAGGAGGAACCTAAAGTACAGTCAGCAGGATCCACTAAATTGGATGTAAGAACACCACGGCTTTGCTAGTCGAGTGCACTTCATTCTACGGCATGCTATCTTGGATTGTGTTTCGTTGGAAAACATGCCGTTCGAGCTTGCCCAAGAAGCTGAGGTAAAGCGCAAGCACTGGTCGTGGTGTTCGTATCTTCAGCTTTACTCACGCCAACCCTAAACAAAGACAAATTAGCATAACTTCACTGAACTGTATATCTTTCAAACCCACAGAAGCCCACAAATTTCTCGACATAGACCATAGAAATCTGTCCAGTCAAGGAGCCAATGTTGACACAGAAGTAGAACCACAAAAATATTCTTGAATTGGTCACTGCTGGGTCAACAATCACTCTTTCTCCAGTTGCAAGCGTCTCGACACGCATCCGAAGATCAGTGTTCTGCTCAGCAAGCAGTGGAGAGATGTTGGCCTTGAAGAAACCAGTACCAACACACAGTGTGAGAAGACCGATGATGAATGCGGCAGTGGCGCTAGTCTTGTGGATAATCACGTCGGGTGCAGACGCAGCCACGAGAATTATGTGAGCGACGATACCGATGACGATAGCAACATGAATAGTCTTGTAACGACCGAGATGTGCATCAGCCACATAACCTCCTACAAGAGGCATGAAATAACTAGACGATCTTAGCAAGAAACTACCTGAGAAGGTCACGATGTAGCGAACTTACGCAAAGAACTGATTGAACAAGCTGATGCCCTGTGCTGCGCTCTGGCCCATACCAAGTGCACCGGGCTGACCATGGAGACCACCAGCACCTGTTCTTGAGCCTTGAGGCAAAGGCCATTGCACAAAGTTGGTGTACAAAATGGAGCTTCCGTAGTAGGAGAAACGTTCCGCTAATTCAGCAAAGGCTACGGTGTAAGCGGCCCACTTGATCTTGCCAGACACACGGCGTAGAGTTTTGAGGTCCTCCTCAGTAGGCGTATCGTCGTACTCTCCCGTTTCTGGGATTCTCACTTCGTAGAGAGGCTCGACTTTGCCGACATCCATTGATCCACGGCCAGCGTTCCTCTCGAAGGCTGTACCTTGCATGGATGCATCGGGGACATGAGCTTTGGCGAGCTCATTGGCATCAAGAGTGTTGTTGCTCATTGTCGGAAATGCCCTTGAGTAGGAGAGTTAAAGCAAACGATTGGGACGAGGCACAAGATCAACCAAGAGTCTTCAACAGAATGAGGTACAGCTCGTTATATACCTAGTCAAGATGAGGGAAACTGTGCAGCATTCCTCCTGCCAAAACTTTATCATGTCAGACCGCGGATCCATGTTACACACCAATTCAATTGTTATCAGAAGCGGTTGACAATGGTGTCAAAAGCCAAGAGATAGCGAATATTCGATGGCGGCGACTGTACACATGTACTCGAGTCTGAGTGGTCGNNAAGACGAGGTGCACATACGATCCAAGACATTCGACCCACCCTCTGNTTACACGCTGAGGTAGGATATGTGTCCCAAAGAAGAAGGTCGAAAAGGACAAAGCAATGTAAGGATGCAGAATCACACTTGGCGAGCAAAAGCNNGATTGGTATGCCAAGGCAGCTTGGCGGCAGCGGAACTTGTGGGTGGTTCTCGTGTCAGGGATGATCGCCCGTTTGCCATGCCGATTTAACTGCTAATAGCTGCAGAAGCGAGGCGAATGTGCATAGCCGCTATGATAGACATTCCGGCAGGCCAATGAGTATAAGGTGATTTGTCTTCAAGACAAATCAATGTCTTGCGAGCATCACCACGAAGGCAAGTGGTAGCGAAGCCCAGATTCGATCCTTCGAAATCCGATATCAATGCCTCGCTTCCTAAGTCTTGTCCCAAAATCCTCCTGCGAGTTGTGTTTGAAGGCAAGCAGAATAGCTAGCGGTAGAATTCCGCTCTTGCCAGGTCATGTGGCATAAGTAGCAGAACTACCAGTGTAACAGCTAGAGCTACTAGAGCAAGCGAGCTTTGAGTGGAATTGAGCCATCACTATATGACACACATGTATCCCGTTCGATTGTAGGATGAATGTGAGCAACAAGGCCCAACACACGAAGGGGGAAGGAATGGGTCCAGTGTGACAGGCCAATCAAGCTTATCGCTAATGAAGCGATCACGCTTCATCATAATAAATCTCATCCTTCGGACCCATGCCTTTTTCTAGGCCATCGGCTCTGCAGAGTTCTCGATGCGCCTCTGATATCTCGCTATCAATCAGCAGATCGGTGCGTGTGAGAAATTGCATGAGAAGACCGGCTTCTGCGTGCCACGAGATGTGGCAGTGGAAAGCCCAGGCACCAGGGTTGTCGGCTACAAATCGTATCAAGGCCCAGCCAAATGCTTCAACGCTAACTGTATCCCGACGCAAAGGGTTCGAGAGATTCAAGGAATCATAAAGCGGCGAGAGATTGTCTAAATCCATGGCTCTATCGAGTGATGTTCTAGGAGGATATCCATGACCTTGGGCCAGAACCCAAAACTTGTATCCATGAAGATGATATGGATGGTTACTATGTGACGATTAGCGAGCCGTAAGATTGTGGTGGAGGATTTTGGCTTACCCGTCATCGAAGTTGGATATCAAGACATCGATAGTTTGGATGCCTGACGACTGGATGGTCAATTCGGTAGGTTGATTGAACGCCCTATCGTTGACAAATACAGCTCCGTCGTCAGGTTCTGCATCGAAGGATGCGTTCTTAGCCTGCAGACCGTCGATGGATCGGAACAATGTGGGATTCTTGACATCCCCACGCCAACTACTCGTATTAAACTTGCCTCTAGAGAGTCTGTAGGCTCCTATCTCGAAATTGGATCTCAGATAGAAGAAGGCATCAGCTTTTTGAGGAGCTGCAACAATCTGAACAGGCACTAGTTCTGTGGTGTTCAGATCCTTGCATTCCAGGCCAATTGCTTCATCCCAGTCAATAGTGTTGGGTAGCTCGGCTGCCGCCGTGGAGCCAGAGTTGCTGCTGTATCGCACAATGCCCTGTACAGAGTCGACCATATATGGGTTCTTCTCGGCAAAACAGTGAGTAATCATTCGAGCTCTCATCCTGAAGTTTGTTCTTTCCCTCTTGTCTGTGTGGACGATTACACTGTAGCGTTGAGCAGGGTTGATGTTGAGACGATGATAATTTGTCGGTTGCACATCAGTGCCGTCCACTTCTGTCACCGCCAGCTCATGCTCGTCAATTTGGAACTGGAACTCGGCAAAAGCGCCGACATTCATGATGCGTAATCTGTGGTGTCGGTTTGGCTCGAAGTCAAAAGCAGGAATTCCAACATTGCTCGTGGTATTGTCGCATCTTCTGTGAGGCAGATCGTCGCAGTTGCGAATGGCACGACCATTAATCAGAGCCCCATCAGGTACTGGCTCAGCGTTCTCCATGTCAGGTGCCAGATACTTCCTCGAGAGTACTCCAGTAAGATCGTGGTAATGGTCGGAAAGCATGATTATACGATCGCTAGCATATTGGATTTGCTGCAGTTGCTTTCCGTCTTTCGAATGAATGATCAAAGGTCCCATCAGACCGTCTGATGCTTGCATGCCTTGATGCGCATGATACCAGTAACTGCCACTCTGCCCTGTTACCCTGAACTCATAAGTGAAGCTTTGGTACGGGGCGATTGGACAACCCGTGATGCCGACAGTACCATCCATAGAGTTGGTGCCATTCTGATATATTCCATGCCAGTGTATAGCTGTCGAATTGGTCATTTGGTTGTCGACAACGACTCTTATGGTATCATGCTCGTTAACCTCGATCAAAGGGCCTGGGAATTGATTGTTTATGAGCAGCATTGGCCTCCATACGCCATCTGGATTTAGTTCCGTCTCGGTGAGAGTCCAATGATATTGCCTTGTAGTTGGAGTGGCTCCATAGTCCCAAGCAGGATCAAGCAAGTATTCGTCTCTGGGCGGTGTCACACCACCAGTGGACTGAGGTAAACTGGCTGACTCGGGTTGCTCAGAATGCTGGTTTTTGGTATCGGGATCTGGTTGCGACGTGTCGATACTCGCGGTGTCCTTCCAAGATGGACCTTTGGGTGCAAGGTTGATCGCAAATGGTACAAGCAAAACGACCGAAATCAGGAAGAGCAGCGCATACTGCCACCACTTGAATGACCACGCTTCGACATGCGGCCGGACTTTCTCTTCATCTAGTAAAGCTCTACGCTGGGCATCGCTGTCTGACCACTGCTCGGAGGTCTCGCTCAGAGCGACTTCCTCATCTGCTACCGGCATTGCGTGCAAGTATGAAATAATAACGTAGCGCGCTCGGGCTTTCACCGACTGTTTCAGCAAGACCCGAGATGGAATGGTGCAAATTTCTGATTGTAAGAGTGCTGCAATGCTGCGTCCCAAATCTTCACCTATGAGTACAACGACATCATGTGGCGAGGTCAATATCGCGGCTCCCGACACGCAAACCTTCTCGAACTTCGTCGCCCTGCAGGTCGATGCATCAGCGGGAGGATGAGAGCCAATTCATATCAAGACACGCCCAGAAAAACGCGGCAGTGCTTGTTCTCGAATTTGCGCGCGCCGAACATCCGTAGAATGTGGTCGCGAAAGGAAGGTGCTCGGAGAACGTCTAATGAACCAATCACAGCCGCGTGTTCATGCCATGTGCTCCCCACAACCCAGTTTAACACCCCTCGCTGCAACCGACTGTCACAAGCGTCGCTCTAGGGATGCACTTAACTCCATAACAGAGCGCGACACACAGAGCGAATATCTTACTCATGCATCTCTGTGGCTGCACCTCTTTCTGGAATTCAACTGTGTGTTTCTACCAGCTTACGTTAACACTACAGGTCAGTGTGGGAGAGCCCATTGCACGGGTGGAGGTCATGCCTCGCAGTCTTTGATAGTGGAGCCTGAGCTTCCAACCGATATGCTTATTTTCTTGCTAAGGCAGGAGCCCGATGATGATCTTCGACGCACCCAATAAAGACACGGCTATTACATGCTGCCTGCAGCGAGGGTCTGCACGTGTCTAGGGTTCATGGATATGGGCTCTTCCCAATCAGCCGCTTCAACCGCTCCAGGAAGGTCGAATGGCTGCCGAACGCAGTGGATACGCCGTGGCGACGGCAGGGGTAAGATGAGTTTGTTCGAGAGATATGATTTAGTTAAAGGTTGATCCTGCCCATCCACAGTCCTTTGAAATTCAGCCCAACATCACTCATTAGATCTGCAATGTTTTCCTCTACTCTCGTTCTTTCTGCGTTGGCGCTCTCGAGCCAGGCATTTGCTGCAAACTTCACTTCCACCAACCCATCAGATGTCGACACTGCTCGCGACAGTGCCTTGACACTTAGCCCGACCAGCAACGTCAAAGGCAAGGTGTTCGACCGCTTCGTTACTATCTGGCTCGAGAACACCGACTACGACAAGGCTGCTAGCGACCCTAACCTTGCCTGGTTGGCTAAGAAGGGTATCACACTAAGCAACTACAACGGAGTCACCCACCCAAGCGAACCAAACTATGTTGCTGCCGTGGGCGGAGACAACTTTGGCATGTAAGTTGAGTCGAAGGTGTGCTAGAGCTTTACATTAGTCTCCACGAAAAGCTCAACCGAGTTGTGTTTGGGCGATACATGATCAGAATGGCATCTCAGAACTAAGGACACTCGTCCAGCACAGCCTTGGTGTTCGTACATCTACTTTAGTAAGGTTATGCTAACTGTACATTTGCTTTAGGGACAACGATGACTTTAACGCAATTCCTGGTAACGTCTCCAGCGTCATTGACTTGCTGGAGGATAAGGGTGTCTCATGGTCACAGTACCAAGAACATATGCCTTACTCCGGCTTCGAAGGCAAGGCCTGGGTGAACCAGCAGACCAAGGCGAACGACTATGTCAGAAAACACAACCCTGCGGTCATCTACGATGCCAACACCAGCCCGGAGCGACTGGCTAAGAACAAGAACTTGACCGAGTTCTATGCCGATCTCGAAGCCAAGAAGCTTCCTCAGTGGATGTAAGTACCCCTTTGCATCTAGACTCGCGCAGAACTAATAGAGAAACAAAGATTTGTGACCCCCAATATGTAAGTTTTATCCTTCACGTGTGCCAAAGTTTCAACTCCGTCATTCTCCCACGAGCGTGTACAGAGAAGCGTACGCTATGGAAAGGTACAAACTTTTCCGAAGCACAGGAGTGGCCCAAGAGAGCCGCTAGGATAGTAGCTCTCAGTGGATACTGCCTTTTGTTTTGGTAGAACTGTGCATTTCTATAACTATATGTGTTACATCCTGCACATAAGGAGACCTTGCACCCAGCTTGGTGTGACCATGCTAATTGAACCTTCGCTTTAGGACCGACGACGGCCACGATACTAGTGTTACCACTGCTGGTGCTTGGACTCGCAGCTTCTTGGAGCCTCTGCTCAACGACAAGCACTTCATGAAGAACACCCTTGTTCTGGTCACCTTTGACGAGTCTCACACCTACACCATTCAGAACCGTGTCTTCAGCATTCTTCTTGGTGATGCCGTTCCTAAGAAGCTCGTTGGCACCACTGATTCCCAATTCTACAACCACTACTCCGAGATCAGCACTGTGGAGGCCAACTGGAACTTGCACACTCTCGGCCGCTGGGATGTTGGTGCCAACATCTTCTCCTTTGTTGCTGACAAGACTGGTGACGAGAACACCGCATGGGACGCTGCCTCCGGTCCCAACACCAGCCACTTCTTCAACAGCTCATTCGCCGGCCCTTTCAGCGATGGCGACAGAGTTACTGGCTTGCCCGTTCCCAACACCAAGCTCGTCAGAAACGGTCGCAAGGTTCTCGGCAAGATCGCTCGTACTTGGGGTGATGCTTCTCTGCAAAATCAGACCTACTACGAGAATACCGTTCAGATCCCTGACGGCATGCACCCTCCTCAAGGCTGGGCGTAGATACAGAATGCGCATTTGCATTGATAGACAAGATTCTTGATTGAAAAAGTTAGATAATACTGTCGTTTCTGCACGAATACACATGATTGGCTTTGTTGTCATTCTTCAATGTTGCTGAGACAAGCCATGATTTCCAGTAAACTTCAAGAGCCAACCATTTTGCCTCGATCAAGTCCTACTACCTGCCACCACATGATGCACAGTACCGCAAGACGTGGTGTTACGAACCTTTTATCTCGAACCTGCGGGGACGGGGCGAGGCGGGAAAATCGTGCCGCTCAACACGTGGGAGAGCTTGAGGATATATAGACTTCCCACGTCCTGCACCTGAATCTCAACCTTCTGTTCTTCGCCGTTTTTCCGTCAACTGTACATACCACTCTTCCACCTGGCTCTAAAACCCACCTTGAACGAAGAAAGAACCAAAGATCATCAGCAAACATGTCTCTCAATACCATTACATCTTTGTTCCGGAATGACGATTCTGGAGCATATTCACCTCTCCCAAGCTTCAACAACTACGGCTCGGAAAAAGAGCCCTCGTCACCATCAGAATCATCAACACAATTCTCTTCAGCATATTCAAAATCCTCGAGATGGCAGATCGATCCCCGTACGATATCAGACGCAACACTAGGACTAAGCGATGGCCTTACTGTGCCTTTCGCCTTGACAGCGTAAGTAAGATGATGATACATAAATCCATCAGATGGGGTTTCAGCTGCTATACGTATAATCCTCATACAAGAAGAATGCTAATTGTGCCTTTGAATCCAGCNNGGCTTAGCAGCTCTGGGTGACACAAAGATTGTCGTGTTTGCTGGAATGGCAGAAATTTTGGCTGGCAGCATTTCCATGGGAATTGGAGGGTATCTTGGAGCTAGTGGTGAAGCGTGAGTTCCTTTTGTCCTGCTGCACATTTTGACCCTTTCTAATGGTGGACTAGACNAATCTGCAGCTACGACAAAAGCAAACACCATAGGAATGGTGCATACGTCGCCTGCAGAGGCAAGAGCAGCAGTGGTGTCAACGTTAGAGTGCTACGTTTCTGCTGCTCTGCTGGATGCTGTGGCCAATGATATTACTGCTAACCACGATAAGACTATCGCTTTTCTGCTTGAACATCAACATCGCTTCGATTCTGCAGACTTGTCACCACGGTTGTACACAAGTGCTGTATGCATTGCTTTGGGCTACTTTTTCGGCGGGTTGATACCGTTATTGCCCTATGTGTTTATCGCTGATGGTGGAGTTGCCTTGATTTGTTCAGTGGTCGTTATGGTGTTTACTCTTTTCGGTTTTGGTGTAGGGAAGACTGCGCTGTTGGGAGAGAGAAGTTGGAAGAGTAGGACATATGAGGGCCTTAAGATGGTTGGGCTGGGAGGCGGTGCGGCGGCAGCTAGTGTGCTTTGTGTGCGCCTTGTACATCAGTAGAATTCACACACGACTCTTTCACAATTCTAGTCTTGTTCGATCTGCTTTATTAGAATCGGATTGAGGATGGGTATCAAGATTACCTAGTAAGAGCTAGGCATAGGAAGTAGGCGCTGGAGGCAGTAGTAGATAGAGACTTTAGCTCTCGACAGCCTTGGCCTTGACACCGACAACTACACCCTCATCGTTCAGCGTGACGATGTAGTACTCACAGCGTGTACTACCATGAGCGACACGGAACACCTGAACATTAGCCTTGTCGCTGCCAGCCTTCTTGACAGCCTCAACAACTTCAGCGTAATGGTTCTTGGTGTTCCACTCCTTGACACTGATCTCCTCCACCTCGCCACATTGGTTGATCAGGTCGGCAAACTTGTCTNNGTTGCGTGTTAGTATCGGTCTAGTACTCGCTCTTTTGCATGACAGATTCTGACCTTGACTGATGGAACTCTGCTTTCCGTACTTGAGAGCCACAGGCTCAAATGGCTCATCAGTGTCGCTTTGATAGAATGCATCCACACTCTTGAGATGGGCAGGCACTGCTGAATCTACAGCCTTTGTTTGCGCGAATCCACTGGTCTTGACTTCGTTGCTCGAGCTGCCAGTGTCCTGGTTGGCCTTTTCTAGGAAATTGGCATATTCTTGATCGGATGACATGGCGAGACGTGGAGTTTGTGAGAGACTTCGTTGAAAGACGGAGTTTGTTCGTAAGGTTCTGAATTTGAATATTGTTTTTGGTGTCTCGCGAAAAAGCTGAAGTGTTGTTCGTTGCATGTTTGTTGGTGCCTCGTCGATTTCTTGGATACAAATAAGTGCCCCTCGTAACCGCTGACGTCAATGCAGAGCTTGTGCACACATACATAGTTCTATAACCGAAAGATATGCTGCCTGCCTGAGCGAGCTTTTAGTGTGATGCGTAGGTTATGCAGCAGTGTTACTTGACATAACAACCCGAAAGTTGCAAGGACATATGATTTTTGATTCAGCCGACCGTGCATAACCTGACCCAGAGATGCTTGAGCTGCGGCAACTCATTCGCGTTCATCTGTCCATGCATAAATTCAAATCCACCAAACTCGAGCCCATGGTTCACTCACCACATCTGTTCGAACCCGCGATACTCGTGCTGCCAGACCGTTCAATAAAGGTCAACCTATGAAACGCTCCTCTGACATACAATGCTTCGAGTGTTTATCCCATCAACCGCGCCTTTAGATGTTTTGTTTAGCCAAAGTCAACCTCACCAAATTCAACCCATTTACACGACTTTTTGGTACGTAATCTTTTATACTCTTTGCAGAACATTTACAGTTCTGGTCAGCACTTTGAAAGTGTACATGATTGAATCCTCGTCCACAAAGAATGGCCTGCCTCCAGCACCTGGATTTTTTAACCCTATCACGGCACGTGACGCATAGCAGACTAGCCTGATCGAGCTACAGAGTCTAAGCTCTGCAAGACAACGAGAAGGGCACAACAAGACCACAGAAAACAAAGATTGCAAAATCTTTTGATTCTACTATTCTACAAATTTTCTCCTACGATGACTACCTCGTCCTTGAGGTTGTTGGGGGAGTCGTCTTTCAGGGGTTTGCCAATCTTCTTCATCTTCTTGCCCTCTACTCGGTCNAAAAGGTCGCGCTCCCAATCTTGCCATGTAGCCCAATCTTCCTTCTTCTTCTGGGCATGCCACTTAGCGGTATGAGCAGCGGAACGCCATGCCAACCTGTTCTTTGGCATGTCACTGAGAGAAACTGGCTTAGAATTGGTCACGATTTTGAGCAGCTCAGTGAAAGCAGTCTTTCCCTCCGCTTGCAGGGCCTTTTGTCGTTGCGCGGGCTTCGGTAGTTGTGATACCAGTGGCGCTTCTAGCCAGTCCAGATCGGAAGTACCATGTGTGGCCGGTATGAGCGCAGATTGCTGTTGGAGATAGCGGATGGCGGACTCCAAGCTGTCGATACGGAGCTTGGCTCTATCGAGCTCCATCTTACTCGCACCTCCCATCTCTGTGGCCATGGTCTTTGTAGCAGTGGCATCAGGTTTGTTCTCTTCTGCTGATTTCCTCCACTCGTCCCTCTCCTTGCGTAATCTTGTAACTCTTTGCTCAGCTTCAGTCAAAGAGGCTTGATGGGTAGTCTTTTCGCTCTGCAAGGCCGCGATGGAGGTCTCTAGATCTGCAAGAGCCACAGATCGCTTCGTGGCTTCGGCCATGCGTGCTTCGAGCATCTCGATACGGACACTCTGCTCCTCGAGCTCTTGCTCTTTCGACCGGACGAGCAGAGAGCGTTCGCGGACAATCTCGATGAGACGGCCGACCTCTGCTTCAGTGTCGACGGAGGTGAGCTTGGTTGCGCGGAGCGTGGCGCTGCGAGTGACCCATGGCTCAGCAGGACGCTCAAACTCTTGAGTGTTTTCAAGGTTGGCGGAAATGTCGCTGAGCTCATTGAGTTGAGTGGTCAGCGAGGCAAGGTAGGTCGTCAACGTGGCGAAGGGCGTCGTCTCTGCTGAGCCGCTACCAAAGATGCTTGCAGACAGACGGGTCAAGAGGAGCTCAGTCTCACTCAAGGTGACGGACTCTTCACGGCCTTCCTCGCCAAAGAGGCTCTGAATCTTCTCACCTACACGGCGGCCGAAGACGGCGAGCTTGGAGGTCAGACTTTCTGTGGAAGTAAGAAGGTCGAGGTGTGCAGGGCCCAATGCCAGCGAGCGTGATTGCAGGTCGGTGATGTTACGATGTGTTTTGTTCACGATGACACGAGCACTCCTAATACTGGAGATGATGGTATCCAGTTGTGCGAACAGGTTGGGCTCTTCAGATCCTTCAGATTGGGGAACCGGGACATGGCTCTGCACCAGGGACCTGCACAGACCGAGGGCCGACGAGGTGCTGTCCAAATGGCTCTGGACCAGCGAGGCTTGCATGAGCATATCACTGGCAGATGCAGCAAGCGACTCCTTGATATGCAGCGAGGCGAGATGAGACATGACTGCCATTGATCTTTGCAGCTCCTCGTCCATTCTGCCTTCTTTCATGTCATCACGCTTGATAGCATCGATGTAGGCGTTCAACGCTCTCTCAACAGGCTCAAGCTCGTACAAAGCGCTCTCATATCTTGCAAACTCTTCGGCAGAGCAGCTGCGGATGCCGTTGATGAAGCAATCACTCATTTCAGCAACCCAAGTCAGTCTGTCAAGCACACTGTAGGCGGCAAATATGTCCTCATCCGCAATCTTGGTACCTTGCCCGTTCAGACGTTCCTTGACAAGATTGTTGAGCAGACGAGACTTGAAGCCTACACGCTTGAATCGTAGTAAAGCCAGGACCGAATCACGCTCGGCGTTGAATGCGTCGGGCAAGAACAGCTGTACAATGGCCAAGTGCTCGGCTGCTTCTTCCGCCTCGAGACGCCTCAGCTCGAGGTCAATAGTCTTGATTTGAGTCTTGGCGGCAGACATTTGCAGCTTCATATTGAGGTCCATCATAGCACGGCTTCGGCTCGACAGTTCTTCTGCTTCAGTCTCGGTGATCTGGCGCGAGGCACGCATATCTTCCAGGTCGGCTTGCAGGCTGGTGACAAGCTCGCGGAAGCGGGAGATTGTGTACTCGCAGTCCTCAATAGCCTGTTGTTGCTGTGCAGAGCGACGTGATTGTTCGCCGATGATGTTGTCTTTAAAGTCGATCTCCTCCTGCATTTGCTTTTCAGCTTCGACATGGTTGACTTCGAGCTCGTCGTTGAGTTCCTTGAGATTCTCGAGATCTTCAATGACCAATTCCAAGTCGTCGATCTTCTCCTGCATAGCCATATTACGTTCTGTCAACTCTTCAATCATGTCTTCGGCTCCCATTGCAGCGTCGAGCTGTTGGCGAATGTCCTCCAGGTCAGCCTCGGTCGCAAGTAGCTTCTCCCGAGTCTCCTCATAGTCGTGCTTTAAAAGACCAAAGTCCTTGACTTCGTCTTCCAGACTAGTGATTTGACTCTTCAGATCAGCCTCCTGCTCTTGTGTCATGTCACGCAGCCTTAACAGAGCTTCCCGGAGTCTTTCGTTTGAGCGTTCCAGCTGGAGCCAACCTTGACTTGTGCGCTCTTCAGGGTTCATCTCTCTCCCCAATTCCTCGTTTTCCTCCTTGAGTATGTCAAGCTCCAGGCGCATCTCCTCGTTGCTAGTGCGCAAGGAATCAAGCTCGGTCTTGAGGGATTCAGCCGTCTCCTCGGCCATTTCACGATCGAGAGTGGCCATTTCGACAACGGCATCGTGGTCAGCTTGGATGGCTTCAATGTCGATCAAGCGGGTTTCCGAGTCCTTGAGTTGACCTCGCAAGTCGTTCAATTCGTGCGACTGAGCCTGCATCTTGGACTGCATCTTCTGGACAATGTTTGCGTACTTGTCGCGCTCCTGTTCGACGTTCTGCATCTTTTTGAGAGCATCGCGATCTTCCTGGCGCTTGCGTTCCATAATCTTCATCTTTGTCTGTAGATCCTCGACCTCGCGGGCGGTAGTCTTGTTCGGACGTAGCGAGGTATGGGAAGCAGCTGGAGAGGTAGCAGGCTTGGAAGAGGGAGCAAAGGATTGAGGAACATGCTCAGTCTCTTCGACATGTTGAGCACGAGAGTCGTGTGCGGGAGCGTTGGGAGAGGGGTTTGGTGAAGGAGAGTCCTGGGGTTGGGATTGTCTTGGAGCAGAAGATACACGGCGAGCGGTAGGGGTCTGTTTTGTGGCTGCAGAAGGCTGTCTGGCGGCAGAAGTGAGGCCTCTGGTGGTGGAGATTGTTCGGGTGGTCAAACGAGACGAAGCAGGCGCAGCAGTTGAGGCGGGATTGCGCGGAGTTTGAGCTGGAGTAGTCGAGTTGGACGAGGGTACGGCAGACAACCTCCTGGCGGCAGCGGACAGGGTGGAGGGACCACTCAGGTTCGAGGCAGTGCGCGGCTTGGTAGTAGTGGCAGTCGACAGAGGTCGACGTGCAGCTGTGGTGGTAGTTGGAGGGGTGGGGTTCCGAATAGGCTGAGCGGCCGAGGGTGTAGCGGTGCGACTGATCTTGGTCGGCGACTTTGTGGGCGAAGGCAGGGCAGAGGCAGCTTTGGCCGTGTCGAGAGGCGGCGGGAGGTTGATGCTCGTAGGTCGCGTCGACGGGCGACTCACGATGCGACTGACTCCTGCAGCGCGCAGGAACATGCCATAGTTGGCCTCGCAGTCAAAGTAGCGCTCGCCCTTGACCGAGCCGTCATTCTTGCCCGTGGCCTCGTCCAGCTCTACACCGACCCATTCTCCTGGCGCAAAGCCCGTCGCTCCCAGGAATCGCACAATCGCGTGCCGTCCATCGTTGAGCTCGATCGTCTGTCCCGCGCCCAGCGCCAGACTTGCCATTGTTGTGTGAGAGTCTCAGTCGCTCATGAGAGTCTCGGTCGCAGAGAGTTGAAACACGTCCCTGTCCATCCATGTTGCCATCGACGCCCGCTCCAGCCCTGACAACATGCTTGCACCACAACCAACAACATGACAAACTTTTTGGCAAGAGGAGACTCGTCCTTGCGTCTTCTCTATTTGACTGACATTACTACTATGCGACACTCTGCACTGCCAGCGTCCTCGCTGCCACATCTTCTGCCTTTGTTCTTCCAAGCCCGTCCTTGCCATAAAAGTCCATCGGATATACCTTC